CATCGTGATCAAGAATATATATGCTTTATGGGGTCCTCCACTACTTTTTCTGCCTGTTACATACATTTGCACCAAATTATTACCATTTTCAATGGGTTCAGGGTAAACAAATATTATTGAACCTTTATATATTGAATATTCTGAATATGTATAGAATAGTTAAGAACTTTCAATATATTTTAATAAACGGGTATATTCGTACTGAGGGTCGCATCATGGAAAGATCAGCTTTAATAATTTTGATACTTTGTATCTTGTTCTATTTTATTACTTTATTACAGGGTATATATTGAGTCGTGTCTGGGGCTTTGAATACATAGACTTGTCGTGGAATTTGTTACAATTTGATTGTGGTTTTAGGTGTAAATGGCAATTAGCATGACGAGCGAGCGAGCGGACATGTGGTGGGGCCAGTGGTGCTGGTGGTATTGATGGAGGCAACTCCTGGCAAGTTGTTTGATTGTGAACCATTCACTGTTGTCGCAACTTTGTCACCAGGCTTAAGGCCGGCTGGTCGCTCTGTCTGTCCGACTGTCCTGTTCATTGACATGACAGGCGCCATAAATGCCACACACGCTTCGCCATTGGCGTCTCTGTTCGCTGTCCTCCTTGGCGTTCGCAATCATAAAACCACAGAGCGATGCGCTTGCACTGTTGTTGTTGTTGTTGTTGTTATTATTTTGTTGGTGTTGCTGTTGCTGATGTCATAAACTAGCTAAGTAAATGGTTGATCATTAGCTCAGCTACAAAATGTTTGCAATTCGCATTTTCAATTCAATTTGCGGCCATCATCCTGGATGAGAGTAAGCAAGCTGAGCTTAGTCTTTGCTCTTCAGTAATACGTGTTTTATATGCCACAAATTGGGCGCATAAATCAATGCTAACGAGCGCGCGATCTGGAGCGTGTTTCAGTCTCTGGAGGCACAGCCACGTAACGCTACTGCTGCCCAAAACTCCAAAACAAAATGGCCGCGATTCTACGTGAGTGATAAAATGGCGTGTCCAATAACCGTGAACAGCGCGATTCGAAGCGAGTCTCTGAAGCGTGAAGTGTGACGACCTCGATGAAATCGCGTTTTCAGAAACATTCCATTTATGTAACAAAAAATAATACTTTCCATGCGACTTTACCTTTTCAACGCACTTTACAATTTAAAAATGAGCTCATTAATTTCTTCTTCAAGAATTTTAGCTCCAATACTTAAAACACATTCATATAATATTCATATAATATTTTTTTATTTTTTGTTAGAGCGTAAAAAGTTTATTGAGTGTAAGTGGAATATAATAAAATTGAATAACTTAATTCATTAATATATTTTGCACTAATAGTATTCCAATTGGATTCCAAAGTGCTTTAAATACTTTTCATGTTGCAAAATATTTATATATTGTCTTAGTGTCTTAGTGTAGTCTTAAGACTATAAAGATAAAATTCAGTTTTTGTAGCCTGCGAATAAAAAACCTCAAAAATTGAATTTTTTTAATTTATTTAAATTAATTTAAATTGAGCTATAAAACATTATTATTTTAAGCGAGCTTCAGTATCTTACCTGAGTGGCTCGAAGGACCAGATGAATGGAATGTAACAACTCGAAGGACCAGATGAATTGAATGAAACAATTTATGCAGAACTAGCGTCGCCTTTGCTTCAAATTCTTATAAAATAACTTTTGGCTATTGTCAAGGCTTCTCATGACATGCCATATTCGTAAATCCCATTTTCAGACTTACACTATCATTATCATTATCATACTTATTAACATTAAGTACGCTCATTATTGCAATTAACAAGAAATTAAAATAATTCCGAATCTTCATTGTTCACTTGCATAACAGCTAACAAGACAACTCCTCTGGCGGGCGTAAGGGAATGTAAAAGGAATCCAAAGTTCACTTGGACTTGCCTTAATTTAGTTCCGAATACCGTGAGGTTATATGTATGTCAGGCTAGGCATTCGTACCCCCTACAAAGTAGAGGCAGTTAACCAAATTTAAATAACTTCGTTTCAAATTTTTGTTTATTAGGCAGGCCAGCCCTGCTGGGCGGCTCTAATGAGACGCGGCAATGTTTTCATTTGGAGTTCGATTGGCGCCTAGGTGATTCGCTTTTAGTGCGCCCCCAGGCAGGAGGCCAGCGTGCGGCCGGCACTTGCCACAAGGGCAACAGCTCTGCGTCTAGTGTCGCGCTACTTTTTGGACATTCGCTGCGGCGACGTCTGCTAATGAGCCGCACAGTTCATTTTGGTTCTTATTTATGGCACTTGCGTGCTCATATCTCTCTGCTTTGTTTCCAAAACATTTTGCTGTTGCATCAATTAAGAGACGCTCGGACTCCCCGGCTACCGAAGCGAGAAACAAGTTTGGGGCCAACTTCGACGTCAACTCGTTAAATGTCAGTCGGAAAAATGGTTTGCGGTAAAATGAAATGAAATGAAATGAAGAAAAATACGTACAGGGAAATTGAAATGTTTTATTAATATTTTTCAACAGCTCTGACGCAAGTTAATTAAGGATTTATTTTTTAATGTTTTTTCTGCTTCTCTGTTCGTGTTGCTGTCATTGCCTTTGCAATTGTTTAGTCCATGACAGCTCGAACACATGTGCAAATGTGCCTTAAGCTGAGATAAAAGCCAGCCAGACGACAAAACTGTCGCTATCAAATTGCACTTTTCCATTAACAAAGAAAACGGCTATTCAGCCTCTGGAAAAGAATAAATATTCATGCAGGCAACTGACAGCTAAATAAATTAATATCGTGATCTTAGCTGCACAAGAACTAAAGCTCTCCATCGTTTCATCTGATTGTGGCTTATCTCTCGCCATTTAGTCAAATTATAAAAGCATAACTTTTTTATTATGCTAACAATTTGTGTGAATCAGTGAAAATATTTTAAAAGCTTAAACAGAAATCAGAAAAATATTTGCCTATCTCCATCAGAGTTTCTTTAGGATGCAAGCAAAGCTCAGCTTTGAGCTTATTGTTCTTGGTGACTCAATAACAAGTCAGAGTACTCTTGTCGAGACGACCCGACCCGAAAAGTGCATATGATATACACTAGTATAAATTTCTAATTTAGAGTCTCTAGACGAACAGAAGAACGGACGGACGGACAGACGAAGATGGCTAGTTCGACGCTGCTCTTTATCCCAATCACGAATATTTACATGGGTCTGCCATGTTAGAGAATATCATCTGTTACAATGCGATATGATATATCGATAAATGCATGTACCATATCTAAGGTGATAGGTACCACCTCTAAGTTTTTGGTGGTCACGAATTGCAACGAAAGCACACAAGCGCGGATTTTTATATTTGAACTGATATAACTTCAGTCAACTCGGTTAAAGAAGAATTTTTATCCAACATGCCACGCCCCCTTCTGCATGTTAAAAACATGTTCACAAAACAATTCTCATTTTCAATGGGTTCAAAGAAAAGTTTTAATATATGAATAAACTTGCATGAAATACTTGCATGAAATACTTGCATTAAGTTAAAATAATTAATGTAAAAAATAATTAAATAATTCCTAACAGAAGAACAAGAACAAGAACAAGAATTTCAATTCGAATCAAAATTATGTCAATTTTTTTAATACTCCCAAAATATTTAATTTTGATTTAATATTGATAAATGTAACATGAAAGTAAAATATTATTATAATATAAATATTAATTGCTTAGTTATAAAAACATTTTAAAGTATATCTATTTTTGTCTTTGCCTAGCCTGCATCTCTAGCCATGGCTTAAAAGCTTTATGCAAAACGCGTTTTGTCCACTTGGCCCATTCAAGCATTTATTGCCTTGTCGAGTGAGCCAAATAGACAAAGGCCCAGACGCAGAAATAGTTACGAAACATGTATGTATATATAAATACAAATATAAATATAAATATAAATATAAATACAAAATATAAATATATTTAGCTGTATATTTATATAGTCCGACATTTGGGGCGTTGATATTTTGGCCAAAAACTAGTTTTGGGAATGTGGTGCAATTCTATTTGATGTTGGGTTTCCTTTGCTGGCGCTTTAAATACTTCCATTAGCCAAAAGACGCCTCTTTTGGAGTGTGGAGCTTATAGCCAGCTAGCACAGCATAGCCTAGATGCTATCGAAATCAATGCTTCACCTGCTGCCTGATGTCTGATGAGCAGCGCGTTCTTATTAGCGGCTCATTAACGCTGACAAATGCCGCCTTTCGGCTGCCACGCCCATCAAATGACTGAGCTGCCCGCAATGGCAGCTCGTTAGAAGCCGCTGATTACGCACCCAATATTTAATTTTAGTGATTCAAGCCGGGGTAATACTCGACCTCAGCTGAGCTGCAATTACTTGCACGCAAATAAACAATTCAAAACATCTTTGGGGCGTTTATCACTGGCCGCTTGGCGTTTAATTTTACGGCTTTATTAGCAGCAGGCAACAGGCAACAGGTAACTGGCAGCCAGCAACTACCAGCCAACCAGCCAGCCCGTTCAGCCCATCCAGCCATCTGGTAATTTGAAGACCCCCAGGGCAAACAACAAGTGCAAGCCATTCAAACTGAGCTACTGTCTTCGATGATTTGATTTAACAGGCATCGCATGGGCGCAGCCCCAACTCCAGCTGCTGATTATGGCTGGAATGGAGACTTTTTAGTGGAGCTGTGGTGTCAGCTGCATCCATATCAAAATTAAAGCTCTTCAACTTCTGCTTGATCAAGCCTTGTGCGATTTCCCTTTTCTGTTTCAATTTTTATGTAAAAATTGATGTATCTTTGTATGAATGTATGTAATTAAAGAAACAAAATGTAATTTGGAGCAGTGCTCTTCTATGCAGTTCTCATGTTCTCAGTGGGTTATAGATATAAATGCAATTTTATATATTTGTTAATTTTTGTTTAAATTAAATATTAAATATATTAATTTATATTTAATAAATATAAGCTGTAATTTTATTTTTTTTTTATTTATTTATTTTTTTTTTGTTATAAGAGGCTATCAAAGCATGCAGTGAAAAATCACGTTTAAATACTTGAAGCACAAAAAAAAGGAGCTATTTACATATATACTCTTACACAACATCAAATAATCCTCTCCAGTAATCCACTCGACTACACTAATTTAGAAATTCATACAAAGGATAAAGCAGCCCCACCCACAATGAGCACCTCCACATTGGCCGCTCCGGCGACCCCAAAGACGGTGCAGGTCAAGTACAAGCGCGCAAGCAAGGAAGCAACCGTAGCACTGCTCGGAGTGCTAGAAAAGTTCAGCATCGACGAGCAGGTGGCAGTGAGACGCAACTCACGGCAGCTGCCCAAGATGCTGGTGGCCATATGGCGCGAGAACTACAAGTGTCTCGACTTTCAAGATTTTCAAAAGCAATTGCTCGGCGATGCACTGCAGCAATTTCTGCGCAAGATGCGCCGCCACTTCTGCAGTGTGCGCTTCAACAGCGATCAGCTGCAGGAGCAGCTCAATCTGCTGGAGCGTAGCGGCATTTCGGAGCTGCCCGGCGTTAACGAGTGCGTGATCAAATGGGATAGCAGCAAAGGCGACTGCTATGCCAAGTGGCCGCTGCACTCGCTGCCGAAGCTGCTGTCACATTTGCATCGCCTCGAGCTGCACATGCCCATCCAGTGGGGCTTCTTCGAGCAGTTCGGCCAGCTCAAGTGGCTGACACTGCACGAACAAATCTCCACTGAGGGGCTCGCCGCAATCTGGTCGGGCTGTGACCGCTTGAAGTGCCTGCAAATGTTAGGGTGTGGCTCGCCCGATATCAGCGGAATTTCGAAATGTGCCAAGCTGCAGGAGCTGACGCTGCCCGTGTCAGTCATCACCGAGTGCACCGCCTCGGAGATTTGTCAACTACCTCAATTAATGTTTCTCGAGCTGCAGCAGAAAGGGGATACAGCCGAGAAGATACTCAAGGCCATGTCCTTGGTGCTGGACCGCCGAACCAACGACATCAAAACATTGCAGATCAACGGCAGCCGCCTGGGCCATGTCGAATGGCTGGTCAAGCTGAAGCTGCAGCGCTGTCGACGCTTAGATGGCCTCATGCTGATCGATTGTCACTTCGGGGCCAAGGATATCACCACCCTGGGCAGCTTGCCCATGCTAAGCTATGCGGCATTTTGTGACTGCACCGATCTCACCGACAAGCAGGTGGTGGACTTCGTCAATGGCAGTCCGGTGCTCACCCAACTCTATTTAATCGGCTGCACAAAGCTGACGAGCAAACTGCTCTTTCATCTCTTCAATATGCGGTGCATAGAGCGATTGGGTACTCCGCCCCTAGGGCTCTATCTGCCGGCGGGTGAGCCCCTTCATCAGGAGTTCGAGCTAAATGTGAGTAGCATCAATGCGCTATATGAGACAGAGAGAGAGAGAGCTCTTACTCCCTTCCCTCCTCCCCCTCCTCCTGCACGCAGTTTAGCAAGCAGTCGACGCTTGAATTGCTGGAAACGCCTCTCGAGGATAGTCACATGCAGCATATGCAGTTCATATTTCTTCAAGCCGAGTCCCAGCAATAAATGTTTTAGATCAATTGCACCATCAACCATTTGTGCTTTCACTGCTTAGCCATGACCACGGCGGCGGCATCCGCGTCGGCTGCTGTTCAATTGCTAATTGGCCGCCCGCCATGTGGTGATTTGTCAATATGTGGCCACGACTCCACGCAATGCGCCACGCAATGTGGCTCCTCAGACTCCAACTACAACTCCAACTCCAACTCCATCTACGACTCGGACTCCGACAAACACGCAACACGATTTTCAACAGCGAAATTTGTCATGGCAACTTCATCGCTTTTGGGCGGCCGTTTTGTCATAGCGGCCAACAACGTGGAATGCTAACAAATTTGTGAACATGTCACAGTTTACAGCTGTGTGTGCATGAGTATGCGTGTGTCTGGTCTGTGTGTGTGTGTGTGTGCGTGTGTGTGTGTGTGTATGGCCCACCCATTGTTATAATTATTGGGCGCCCATGTATAAGTGACAATTCAACTTTGATTGGCATTTGTGGAGCACAGTGCAGAACAAGCTGCATGCAACATGTGTTCGAATAAGTTGTTGCGGCAAATCAAACAGCTGTTGAGAGTTCCACTCCAAGCATGCAGCTGGCAGCCCGACTTAACAGGTAGGCTAGGCACTTGCCCAACTTTAGATATTTCAATGAACTATATAGTAATAGCTCTAATAGTTCAGGTCACTCAATGTAAACATAATTGCAGAAATTTTACTGCTCAGGCAACTAATAAATCGTGGTAAATCGAATTTATAGTCGTCTCTGCTTTTCTGCACCAAATTGTATTACATTTTTACTATCATTAACATTATCATTTGCTATTGTTCATGTTAAGAAATTTGTATTTCTTTGATCTCTCGTTCGACTTTGGGTAAAAGATTTGAGCTTCAAATATTTGACAACTGTTGCTTAATAATCCTAAATTCATATTAAAAACATGTAAGTGCCCGACTAGGAGATATACTAAACCCAGTGCTATCTGCTTTTTTTTTTAATATTTATTCAATAGTTTGAACCTAGAACTTGTTGGCTGTCGCCTCTACCAACCAAAACCACTTGATCGCATATTGGATACACGTTTTGATTAATAACTTCTGAAGGAAATATTCACATGGAATATATTGATCAGTCTAGTAAAAATGCAAGCCCTTCCACATGTTGGCTATATTTGCAGCTGAGCTTCAGTTTGAACCATGTGGTCAAATATAAATAATAAATAATAAATACAATAAAAATCAAAACTAAAACAAATGCAAATAAATAAATGCAAAATTGGGAAACTAGTTCCAATGACGTACGAGATATAATTTATTTATTTAATAATTGAAGTTTGATACCGTTTTTAAACAATAAATTGAAACGGGAATTGCTGTCGGGTTTCTTAGGTAAGCTTGTTCTGCGCGTGCTAAAGAGGTTCTGAGATTGACGCGTTCATACCTAGAGACAGACGGAGAGCTGCTGGGCAGTCTGACAGGCCTCTGAATCAGATCGTCGAACTGATCAAGAACATACATTACTTAATGGGCTGTGCCACGACTCCTTCTGGCTGTTATTCTTTACTATTTATTTACTAATTTCAATGAACGAATTGCTGATACTAGTACTAGTATATAAATATATTATATATTAGATACTAGTATATAATATTCACATAGAAAATTCTGTCAGTATTTATCTTCAAGAAAGTACTTCGAGAAGCACACGGTACACTTTATATACCCACAACTGTCTATAGCTTTTGTTGATGGTTCAAATGCCCTCTCCGCTACTTTGTCGCTTTGCCGCTTTGTCGCTCTTCGCGCCTTACTGCCCTACTACATGTTCGACCCACACGCTTTGCCCCGCGATGCAATGCCGACTGCTGCTCTGTTGCCTGTGCACTAATTCGTTTTCACACTTTTCATGCTCGAGACAGGCTTGGAATAGCCGAAGGGGCTTTTGGTTTTTGCTAGCGCCTAATTTCGTAGACCGATCGCATATCGGTGTATGTGTTGACGCCCCTCCATTCCCGGCAGCCGTAGGTGCCAGCTCACTAATATTTATATTTGCCCTGCATTTCTCTTGCACGATGCAAGCGATTTGATAAGCAAATGGAAATGCAGCTCCAACTGGGGCAATCCAGGCAGAATGGAGATGGAGGAGGCGGTGCAGACAAGCGATAGCGACGTCTGCGGCAGCGGCAGCGGCAGCAACGACGGTGGCGGTGGCGGCGGCGAAAGGTGCAAATAAATAATTTTCAGTAGCCAACACTCGACGACCCACTGCTGGAGCTGAGACCAAGCCGCAGACTTTGAATGGACACCGGAGCCAGACAAATATTTTATTGCAAATTTGCTGATATTGAACGACAGGCGGCCACTGCAGCAGTTGCCCGGCTGTTTTGCATATTAAATTTATTTTATTGAATATAGCCAGAGATATGGACAGATAAACGAGCATGGACTAAAAAGTACTGAAATTTGAAGAAAGTCGCAAAGCAATTAAACTGCTATCTATCCATTGTAATAATAGCGATAGACACGAACTATCGAATATCGATGCCAAGTAATGATGGTGAACAGTGTTGCATAGTGTTCAAGCTGATGTTAAATTCAGTGGACTGATAAGAATTTTAAAATATTTTATTATAGTTTCTTAAAGTTTATTTACTTTCATATTTTTTCTTATTAAATAATGGTCGTGCATTTATTGCTATATTATATCATGAGTTATGGTAAGTCTAAATCTGCTTGCTTGCGTATAAAACCAATACATCTTTTGGTCATTGAGCACTATAGAGGCAGCCCTCGTTGTACATTTACATTACTGCTCTCCCTCTGATATCTCTACCTTTTCTCTCAGACTCTCTCCCTGACACTCTCTTCTCAGCCCCGGCCATATAATTGCTATGACGCCATGCTAGGAGCCCAGCGGGCGATGAATTATTAATTGCCGTTGATTTGCATTGAGATTTCTTGGCTCGAGTGGTTCATTATATTGGAGCAGCACTGTTGTCCAATATGATTGCAGCCCATGAAATTGCAAGCCAAGTGTAAACATAATAATCAACGGGCATTATATGTCGATATATATATATGGCGATCAGCAAATGCGCTTTGCAAAATGGCCGCCGGACAACGCGCGGCCCCCAATTGACACCTGAGCGTTCGTTGTTGTTGCTGACGGTGGTGCTGTTGGTGCAGCTGTAATTGTTATTTATGCACTTACATTTTACTGTAATGGCAGGTGGCCCGCCAGGCCCCTGGGTTGTGGGCGTAACTGGAGCGTTTTGGTAGCCCGGACAATTACATAAGAGTTTTTAACACTCTTAATTGCAAAAGCAGCCAAAGCTGAGCCACATTCCACATTAATACACATTACATGCAAGTACACACGCCCCTTTTAAGGACTGGGTAACGTGTGCCGCACTGTGTACACAAAACGATGACAAATCAAAATAACAATTATAATAAAGAAGCAGAGATAGAGAGAGAGATGGAGACGTGAAGAACCACTAGGGAATAACACGTGCTTAAGCTTGGCTTGGATAAATAGTGTTGATCAGTCTAGTTCAATTTGTTGAGATCATTTGAGATTCGTGAACATTGTTCGCTAGTTCAATTTTATTAGTGACGCATGAATAATAGACTAATAGACTAATGAGTGAGTCATGAGCGATTACTATTCGTTAGTTATTCCGATATTAATAATCGAAAACAGAACAGCTCAAATGAACGCATTCTCCCTGAACCACTCAGTTAGTTCATTTTCAAACTCAACCGAACTTATTCAGAACGATGCGGCACAGCTCTAATTATGACTCTGACGCTCAGGATGACGTTGGCAATGGCTTGAGTCGACTACTGTGTTGTAGCTTAGATGCTGGTCGACGGTGTTAATCCCTGGAATTCGACTTGGGCAAAGGCAAAATGCAAACGCCGAACGGCTTTTGTGCTGCTCGCAACCACTTAACTTGCTTAAGCGCTGTACGCTTGTCAAAATTGCAGCATCCGCAGCCGCAGCCGCCGCCACCGCAAATAATAACAGCCGCAACAACAAAAACAACACCAACAGCAAAAGCCACAAGACACGTCTCTTGGCAAGATGACGCAGTCAGAATGGCTCTTCAACTGTAGCCAAATGAATTAACCCTTTTACTTTGCACACATCCAACGGCTAAACAGCGGCTGCCAGCCACAACAACACCAATAACCGCTACAACAACAGGAACGGCTACTGATTTGTTATGTTCCTGCAGCTACTGTCGTTGCATAGTTGTTGTTGTTGCCTTTGCAGTGAGTGTGGGTTCAGTGTTTTTGGCCATCAACATACACCAGCGCGAAAATGTTAAAAACTCATTCCAAGTCCGATTGTCCAATTGATACAGTAGAAAGAAAAAAACACCGAGGAGGCATTATTAATTAAATTAAAATGAAGCAAGGACAGAAAATATCAACATAAGTTGAAGCTACGCTGGAGACCGCTCTGTTTTGCTACCCATTCGATAGCTAATTCTGTAACAGCAGAGGAACAAAAATCATGTCTACAGTCGAAATAACATTCAGTTTAATTGCAGAGGTGGCAACACTGGCAGCAATGGCAAGTTTACTTCAATAATGGCTGCCATTGCAATTGGACGACGAAATGTGAGAGGAATAATGAAATGCGATCGATAGCGTTTGTATAGTATTTATTAACTGTTTCAACTAAATGTGTTCTAACATTTTCGCTGCTTTTTTTTGTGTATATTTAAATACAAATGCTTACCGCTTGCCACTCGAGTTGGCGGAGCGATGGAGAATTGCGCGTAAATTCGTTGCGGTCTTGGTGTGTTGCGCGTCATCAACATAATCGCCGTCAACGGGCCGTCAACAACATCAAACTGGCAGCAAAATGTTGCTACTGTTTCCACCAGCAGCAGTCCGACGACGACGAGGACCAACAACAACCCGAAGAACAGCCACAACATTGGCAACGGGGCAACTGTGAAGTGGTTTTTTTATGATGAGCGAGAAGCACTTTCAACTGCCTTAGCAGTTGGAGCCAACAAAAGCGTGTCAAACATACTGTACGCAAACTGTCAGACGAGCATTACACACGAATACAAAACACTAAACTCACATATATATATATTTATATATATATATATGTGTGTGCATACATGTGTACGTGTGCTTCGTATCGGAGAAGAGTATTTAAGATCAAGTAATAATGCGGGCGGTTCTATTTCAGTTTTACACAATAGAGACCGTATTAAACCTGGTGCTCATGTTCCTTCAAATACGCGGCTTTCTATCGCAACCCTTGGAAGCTTTATCACTCCAGAGGCAAGTGGCTCACTATTTCTTTTGTGGTTGCTTCTACGCTTTCACGGTGCTGATCCTTTTCGCGAGCATCAACAACTGCACGGCACACCCGTTGTCGCTGTGCGAAGAAATCGTCCGCAGCGTGGTTGGCTTTCTGCTGTACGTAAGCATTTCGCTGAAGACACTGCAGGTTGCGGACTCCAACATATTGCACGCCTATGTTAATGACGCCTTGGGTGTGGAGAAGCCAGTGCATCCATTATTTACCTATATGCACTTTCAGGCCGTCTGTGCTCTAGCCAACGGCGTCACGTACCTGCTGCATGCCACCATTGTCGTCGATGTACTCCTGTCCAACGAGAGAGGCGCCAGAAACCCAAACGAGGATTCCGATGAGTATGAAGTTGGCGACTATGTACCCGTCCGCGTTTATTTCTTGAGCGAGTGGGTACAAACGAAACTGGAGCAATACGAGTGGTTCCAGACCTTCACCCACAGTACTTTTTTCCATATATAACAAAAATACTACATATTCTTTGGCAAATCTTCTTCACAGTTCTAACTGTCTGTGCCGTCCTTTGGCGAAGAAATACAATATTATGTCGCTGAAGATAATGCCACTGGATGACTCTACAAGTCTTGGATGTAAAATTGCCAATGGATAAATTCATTAAGTAAATGCGAATGCAAGCGATCTAATGAATAGAGACTCCGTTGATAACAACGACTCGGACTCTTTCATATATGGTGGTCCAAAGGAAAATTGAGCAGTCCGAAAGCGGCAAACTTAAGGCTGAGGCCCCTGGCAATTGTCTATAATTCTTAACGAAATGCAATCATTTATTTCATTAATCAACATCAGTCCTAAAAAGTATGCTATTAATAATGTCTCCAACAACTAACAGTAACTGTAACAGCACCAAGAAATGGCGTTCATGTACTATATAAGACTCCATAATACCACAATTTGGCTGGCAGTTAAAAGGAATTTAACGTCCCCTTTAGCTAGTTTCCTAAAGATCTCTTCAAGATATTCTAACTTGAAGGAGAGCATTGTTCAATTACTCTAACTCAACTCACAAGAATTTTGTTATTTTCTAGTAAATAACATTTTTCCTACAAAATAAAATAATGTTAAATTTAGAACAGTTTCCATGATCTTATAAATAAAAAATATATATATTTCAAATCTTTTCTAATGCTTAGTTCAGTTATTCGAGTGTCTATGACGTCAGTGACGCAACAGTTTTATTCTCTGCCAAGCGCCCAAAACGTGACGCCAATCTGCCACACAGATAACCTGCCCAACTGGCTGCCAGCTGGCTAACTGGCTTTCAGGGCGCCTGCGTCGTCTCCCAGTACAGTACGGCAAACAATCAATAAATTATGGGCTAAGCCCAGTCAAGAGCAAGGCAAAACATTGGCCCTGCCCTACCAAACTTTCCACACAGAGCGCTTTTAGCTGGCTTCGCAGAACTTCCACTGCCACTGCCACTGGCCCTGGCTGTGGCACTCTTCCTTTCTTTTCATTCACTCATTCATTCATGAAACTGAGTGCGCTTACACTGCGTTCTGCTCGCCTCACACAAGGCTATATTTATCGCAGCCAGCCAGCCGGCCGGCCGGAAATTGCGTTGGGAGACAGTTTTCACAACACTCCGGGCAAGCTTTACTGCAGGAAAGACGGGCAAATTTAATATGCAAATAATATATATTACTACTAATTTAAAAGCATAAAGCTACAAAATATCATAAAGCATAGAGAAAAGGTGTTCAGTAAATTTGTTGTTCTTAAAGCGTCTATCGAGCATCATTAAACTGCCCAAAGGAATTAACGTTCCTTTGGAAATGGAAGAATGGAAAAATTAATTAAAAATAATATATTTTATATTTTTTGATATATGTTGAATAAAGACATTTTATCTAGGATTACATAAAGAGAATCCCAGCTGCAAGGATTTTCTATTCAATAAATGTAATAAGAAGAAGTAGATAATGGATTGAGCATATAGATGTAGCCATAATAGCTAATTGTTTCCTTGCTTGTGGCATAGTTTTGGTTTATAGTAAGGAATAATGTGGAGCTAGCGCCCTTATAGTACTAGATATATGTTTTGCACACATTTAATGCCTTTCGGGTCCACAGCAAATTACTTTAATTAATAAATGATTGTTCAACAAAGGTCATAAACGCAGGATATATGGGTATATACATATATGAGAAAATCGATAAAGATGCCCAAACGCGTCCTTGAAAAGTAGGGGCCACAAAATTAGTTCTGGCCAAAGTCATTCATGAAATGCCTTTACCTTTGGCTTTTCATGAATGAAAGGCAACCCCAGTCGAGTTCGAAATTATAAAGGGGAAGTCATGCGGTTCGAAAGACATGCGCGCTAAGCGCATATACGCATACATATATATATATATATATATATATATATATATATATATATAAATATATATATATATATACGTAGTGTGAGGTAAAAACAACCCCAATAGGAGCTCTGACGTAACTGCGCTCAAGGTCAGCGTAGAATTTCATTCATAAAATTGAAACGCCCAACGGCGCGATGCGTGTGTAGCGGTAAATTGAATGTAAATGTAACAGTGCTTATGTGTGCGTGTGAGTGTGTGTGTTCTGTGTGTACACGCGCGTGCATGCCTCAAGGGCGGCGGAGGTGGGCTCTGCAGTACTATTAGCTGTGGGGAAAAGCGCGCTATTTGTAGCTTGTTGATTTTTCTACGCGTGTAAACACGATGCCAGCGAATAAAGCCATTTTCATTCATAAAAGCCATTCAACATTGACAGCAACCCCTCCCCGCGCGCGTAGTCCGCCCATTATGGAGCACACAGCTTACTTAACTTTTGTCTTAACTTTAATTCAATGAGTGAGCTCTACGCAAGGGTGCACTGACTCATAGGACCCAGTTGCCGGACTATCGAAAAGTGAGAGCATCGTTAGCAATGGCCAGGCAGGATTACACAGCCCACACAAGTATGCAACGAAAGTCTAAAGGTTAAGCAGAATATGGAGGAAGTTGACACACATTTCCGGTTAAATTTATTATGTTGGACGAACTGTAATTGTACGGTAAACTGACAAACGACAATATTATTATTTCCTTCCCTCAACTCAGCTATCTGAATAGATAGTGATTTTGTAGGAAAGCGGTAAGCTCACGCGATAGCAAATTTTATTGCTTATAATAATGGCAATAGCTGAATATTCAAATGATTGATACTAATAATTAGCCATAAATTTAAAAATAAATACATAATCCAGATTTTCGTGGTTGATGCTTAAAGTAACATGCGCTCTAGTCGTACGACAATAAGCTGCATTAAGAAAATAATCAGAGCCCAAAAAAGTATGCTAGAGCACTTAACAGTGAAATTATGTCTGTTAACTAGCAGCTAAGCTGTGCTGTAAATTGTCTCACAGTTCACTTATGAATATATCAGCCCTTGCGAGCTGTTACATTTGAACGAAACCACTACCGTCTTATTAAGACGAATGCTGAACTCAATGTAAACTAACAGCGAGCAATAGTGTTGGAAATTGTTTCAAATATCGGCTGGAAAAAATGCAGCTCTGGTTAGCGGGTAAATTTGTATGTAATATATTGGAACCTTTTGCTTTTTAACTGTCTCTTTGTTACTACATAAATTAAAATGATCACACTTAAAGTGAAAATAAATTTAAGCTTATATTAAACATCGTCAGCTTACTCTGCTTAACTGATAATATATATAAATTCATTTTACTCAATCATACAAACATTTCCAATCCCGATTTACAGACACACGCAAAATAAAAATTAAATTAATTAATCAGAATAAGCTACGTTGCATTGCTGCCAGACATTGGACCAGTTAGCTTCTCGTTGAGACACGGCATACCCATAAAAGGCTCCGATTCGGAACGCTTGTGAGTGCGCTTCGGCAATCCCTTGGCACGGTCAAGGTGGGCACTGACACTGGCCACAGCCCCAACAGCATCGCTAAGCTGCATTAAATCCGGCTCACTTCGTGCCAACTCCTCATCCAGATAAACTTCCTGATTATTAGCATTAGAATTTACATTCGTCACCTGCTCATTGAGGCATACATCATCCAGATCGACGTCGCTATTGGAGAACAACGCAGTAGCTCCTAGTTCCAGTGAATTGGTCACATCCAGCTCTTGTTCGCTGGTTGCCTTCTTCGGTGTCGACGTCGAGGTGGCACGCGAGAAATTCAGACCTGGATCTAAAGACAAAGTAGCCATACTTGTTGGCTTGAAGGAAGATCCGCTGTTGCAGCTGCTATTAATATTATTATTGTTGTTAAGTAATTGCACATTTGAGGTGGCAAATGCAGCAGCTGTTGCTCCAATGACGGGTACATTGGTCATGCTGCTGGGCGTAGAAGTGTTCCTTTCCGTCTGATGCTCCTTCATCAGCTTGCACGCCTTCCCCAGAGCACAGATAGTCAAGCAAATGCGTAGACCTAAAGCAAATAAGTAGGCGAGTAGAAAGAGCAGCCAGGCTGCTATATTGTGGAAGGACACCGCCGTATAGATGGCTTTAATGAGTACCACTGCAAGCGGGAATGGTATGAAACCCATGCGCCGTGCCACCAGGTCTGAGTGATCCGAAAAGGCGTGCTTCTGACGCGTCTGAGTCATATCATAAGCCAAGCTCGTCGTGTATTCCCGATAAATACTTTCGGGCAGCTCGTTGAAACGAGTGATAAACGCATGCTTCACCCAATCGATAAGTATTTCGGTAAACAACACAGCAAAGCAATCGGGCAACATGACACAGAACTGCGTTATGCTCCAGTCGAATTCCTTCATCGTCTGTATCATCACAATAAATAGCAGCACACTTAAATGGAACCTTTCGCGTACGTCGCTGCAGGTCAACTGAAACAGGTTGTTCTTATCGAACTTTTTAAACACCGAACCTTTAAGCTCCACAAAATTATTCGAGATCATAATTGTGAGCAGACCCTTATTGTTCGAGTTTACGGCTACATTTAGACAGGTGGCCTGCAAGAGGGAAATAAAGCAATAATTTAAAAGAGGGAGCCAAAAACTGTAATGTGCGAACATTCCGATTTCGATTAGAACGAACGATAAGCGATAGTCATCGATAGCACACACCTGAAACATGATGAGGCCACTGTGCAAGAACACGTAAATAAGCGTAAATAGAATGTGCGTTACTACGCCAAAATGTTCACGTTTCGAGTTCTTTGGCTCGGTAGCCGTCCAGAAAAGCGCATCAATCGTATCCTGTCCAAAGGCGGAAAGCAAACGATCGCCCACCTCGAGCATATTGTAAAATATATATAGTTTGATTATCGACTGCGATTTGATAATGTGATAGACGCGATTCGTGTCCACGAGCAGCATTATCATTGTCACCGTTATCCAAATGGCGCCCTTGAGTAAATCACATATCTCAGCAGGAGACAACAGTCGCTGACTACCGCTTCGCAGTCGAAATATTCGTGCAACAGTCCGTGTCAGCAGGGACCAAACGGCTAGCAAAAATCTGACCGGCAGAAATGTGTGTATATAGAGAAAGGAATCAGCACACTGCATAATCCCATAAACCATAAAACGCTCCAGATCTCTTGGTATGCGCATAAAGCTATAGATTTTTTGCCGGCGTGCAGAATACCTCTCTTCATCATGCTCCAGCATGTAGCCGCGTGTCATTTCCACTTTAAAGAAGTCGTAAAATGTGCTGCTCTCTGAGCCGGCTGTAGAGGCAACTATTCAGCTAGATTCATTGATTCTCAGATTTGTCATATTTACCGTTATAAACGCGTTGATGTGAAGCTGCTGCAGCAACGCCAACGTCATCCACAATTGTTGGCGATTTGACCTTTGGTAGTTTGTGGGTTTCTTCGTTCTGCAGTACCTCAATGTGACTGACACTACCGCTGACATCCCCACGATAGCGGAGCTGCCTTTTAATGCCGCTATTCGTATGAGAATTATGCATTTAATACTTTTTATGTTTTCGTTTTGTCAGCTTGGCAGCCGATTATAGTTTGTTTTGCTACGGTGTTTCGTATGCTAGTGTGCCCACATCTACAGGCAAATAGAATGCGCAGAGCCCTGGTTGCTTCACATGCATAGAACAGTGTGTGCATATACACATCACTTTTAAGCGAGCAAAAAGTTCCACATTTCTTTGAACTAAATTGACCCCGTATCGGGGTCAACACTTTAAAATTAATCCGATATATTTAATTTACGGTGTCCATAAACGTTATTTTTTCTCATAATTTTCGAGCAGAATATAAGATCTATTGCTACAATTATCTGTATTTTTCTTTTAATTGGACAGCGTAACTGTAGTTTGTTTTGCTACGTTGTTTCTTATAAAAAGACAGTGTGACCATTCAGTTGACAGATATATTGGTTTTGCAGCCCTATTTACTACATAATTACCAATTGCATGGTGTGTGCACACTCGCACTACTTTTAAGAAAAAAAAATTTAACAATTTTTTGTTTGCATTGTTTTATGTATCAAATTGATCTATAATATGACTGCGTCTATAGATTTGAGTTCATATCGTGATCAGCACTTTAAGGTAAGTTCAATTTGTATGATATTCAGGTTTCAGATTTATTATTTTTATTACTTGTGTTTCAGGGCTCACGTTCGGAGCAGGAGCGATCGTTGCGCGACTCAACTACACTATATGTAGGAAACTTATCGTTTTATACAACTGAGGAGCAAATACATGAGCTCTTTTCGCGTTGTGGTGATGTACGCATCATTGTGATGGGCCTGGACAAATACAAGAAGACCCCTTGTGGGTTCTGCTTTGTAGAATATTACACGCGAGCCGAAGCCGAAGCTGCCATGAGGTAAATGTCAACAAATTAAATTTTTTTGAAAATATCTAAATGTACATTATAGATTTGTGAATGGCACGCGACTGGACGACCGACTGATTCGTGTGGACTGGGATGCAGGCTTTATTGAGGGCCGCCAATATGGACGTGGCAAAACTGGCGGTCAAGTGCGAGATGAATATAGAACAGACTACGATGCGGGACGAGGCGGCTATGGCAAACTCCTTTCCCAGAAGATTGCACCCAATACTGACAACCGCTAGAGATAAGATTAGAAGCTTAGCCCCAACTAGATATTAAACAAAATAATTCATTACGCATAGTTCATCTAGTTGCATTTTTATTTAATCTCTACATAGCTGTTTTATAATTGAAGACATGATATTTCGGCACTAATAATATTGTATAATTAGTTTACTTCTTACCAATGTTGTTGGCTAGCGAGCAGCTGAGGCCAGTGCCATCGGGTTCGATGTTTAACTCTTTAACCTCGCCGTTCTGCACAACCATGGAGTAACGCTTGGATCGCACGCCGCCTAACGGTGGCAAGTCGATGTTCACATCCAAGGCGGATGCAAACAGACCAGCAGGATCAGCTAGCATGCGTACTTTGCCAGTTGCTCCATGCTCCTTGCCCCAAGCGGACATTACAAACGGATCGTTGACAGAGACACAAACAATTTCATCAATGCCCTGTTCGGCTTTGAGAGACTCTGCTCCACTTACATAGCCTGGCAAATGAGTCTGTGGACAATCAATGATTTCATAATCGATATTCTTTTCTAATTTAAACTTACTTTTGAACAGCCAGGAGTAAATGCACCGGGCACACCGAAAAATATTACTTTTTTGCCATTTGTTAGCTCGCCGGTATTTATCTTATTTGCTGGCGAGTCCTCAAAAAGGTCCACAGACGGAATTTTATCTCCAACCTGAAGTACACATATGTACAAATGCATTAGTAGTGATGGAATAGATGTAACCTTGATACGTTGCACTTTGTCGCATCTATGCCGCTGAATCAATATTTATGAGGCTGCTCTACTTATGCTTACGTAACATTTAATTTTAAAAATTGTATGCAAATTTATTTAGAATAATGACAACAACGCTGCCTACCTTAACCATGACTCCTAATGTTCTGGAAAAAGATCGCACGTTTGGCTTGGTAGAGTTAACAACTCGGCTAAGAAAATTGCACGCCTGCATTTCTGACACTAACTCACACTTGCTCAATTGCCAATGCAGAATATAGAGTTGCCACACTGTTCGAAATTAAAGTCGTATTGGATATGACAGGTTATTCAAATCAACTGTCATAAATTTTTTACTACAATGCTTGGAAAACAATTAAATATTATATATAATCTATTATAATATGTGTTCTTAGCGTCAATATGTTCAAAGATTTTTCAATTTTATAAGCAATTATCAGCGAAACGTTCCAGATCGTCCAAGCTCTGTTCCTTCAATTTTGCCTCGAAATCCGTCATGAATTCGTTGGTTAGCCGTTCCGATTGAGTTTCCGTATAGTATTTGCGAAAGGCACGATGAATGCAGTCGCGTAGTCCAGGTTTCATCACTACAAGATTTATTTTAGTGCCCTCTTTAATATTTGGATATGAGGCAATCGTCTGGTCATTGTTTAATGGTCGCCCAAGCAAAAGGAGCTTCTGATTTGTGGCGGGAATTTGTAGAGCGACATCTATTTTTTCTTTCAACTCCAGAATCGTAGACGTCGGCGACACCTGGCCAAGTGGGAAACATCTTTCAGCATACTTTACATGTAAAGAACAAAACACCTACCTCAAGTGTGCAATCTTTGCCCTTAAGCACCTTAATTGTTATTTGCATGACAATTCTTATTTGTGTACACTTTTTACAACTTATTTATTTTATAAACAAAAACTAGCATTAAAGAGTTGCCATCTGCAAGTTAGTGATGCAAGTCTCTTTCGATATTTGTGATACTTCATACAATCAAATCTACATCGATAAAATTTAGCTCTGCCAATTATTAAGCACACATATATAATGCCAACAAGTGTCATCAAAAATAATATATTACTCTTTCTTTTTTTATTATGAATCATTAGATTTGTTTTTTTTTTCGCGAATTGATAATATGTTAAATATAGATAGATTACTCAGAATTCTTTTAAGCTTTAGAATTTTATATAAATTTAGTTAAATATTCAATAACATTTTTCACATATAAAATGTATGTAAAGCTGAATTAATCGCCTATTAAAATCGATATTTCAATAACAATAACTTAGTTTTAACAACATTTCCGTTGCTGCTACTATAATTTAAATTTATGCATTTGTCTAGCGAGTCTATAAGGAAAAATTCAAACTTTTAAAGCCACTTATAAATATATTAAGTGGTATATAAAAAAGCACTCGGCAATAAGAAATCTATTGCTGCAAAATCTATGTATTATAATTTTTGTATCGATAAGACTGGCTTTGATAAAAATCCCAATCGATACTTTATAATAGTAACAGATATTGACCTGTCTGGCAGCACTACTTCTATTTAGCAGCGACGTTGCGTGAACAAAATATTTTACGAAAATAATAATTTATAATTAAACAAGCCCTTGATAATAGGTGTTTTTGATAAAAAGGTTAACTAAAAATCATAGTGCTGATAACACGTCGTGACTTGTGCGCATCTGTCTTGTAAAATTCGCAATCGGACTATGAAAATGATGGAACAAAAGTGAAGCGCAAAAAATTCACATAGAAATATCCCAGCCTCGAGAGCTTGAGTGAATAAACGAAAAGCAGTGCGAGTGCGATTGCGAGTATTTTGTGTGTGTTTGTGTGAGTGTGTTAGATTCACATTTTACGTAAAAACATTAACAGGAATACATCTTTAATCAGCAAAATATTTAATGTTAAATCGCAGTAGAGGCAAATGGAATAAGATCTTGCAGCTTCTAGCGGTAAATAGACGGCTCCCTCTTACTGTTAAACCAGACCAAACGCTCATTTGACATTCGCATACACAGATTAATTTTTTTTATTTTTTTTTTTGTTTTGCATATCTATTATTGTTTGGCTTGACTTTTTGCTGCAACTATTAATTATTCACAGTACACATTCATTTTATTTCTCATTCTCTCTGTTTCGCCCATGCTGCGAGCAGAGCTGTCGCCCTCCTCCTCGCTCTTTTAAAGGTGACATATAAATTGCTGATGTCTTTTTTTGCATTTAGTCGGTAGGTGTATACAATATTTTTTGTGTAGCGGAATGTAAAGGCACAGCAACAACAACCCCTCCTCATACACACCGACTCCCCCCTAAGAATATCAACAAACGTTGTTGTCCACACACACATACAACACACACTTGACTTTCGCATGGGCCTGGGATGAATTCTGAGTCTGGCAACTCTAATCGACGGCCATTGCTTCGCAACTTGTTGCTTGCTGTCGCATTACGTCTGAAATATTTGATATTTATTTTCTGTGTGCAATTTTACGGAAGCGCCGAAAGGCAAGATATTCCCAGGGATATCCCCTTATCGCCAGGTCCTTTGCCCTTGCTGAAATAAACCTCACCAATATTGAGTATATGAATGCATATATACTGAATGCATGTGCATACACACATATTTGATTGTATTTGTATCGGAACTGATTGAGTGCAAGTTCTTGAATATGTTTAGAACCGGATTCAACTTGGTATTACTATGTGACAACTTTGTCTTCTACTACTAGCACTTTTCATTTTACCCCCATAATCTCCGAGGAATAAACGTGTAAATGTGTGTGTATAGGATGATCAGTAAAGTTTTCTGCATGTTGTTGTTGTCATCTTTTTGTGGAACTTAATTTTTGCTATTGCTATGTTAATTTTCTTCTCAACACATCCGCAGCGGTGGATCTTAAATTATCAGATACAAATCAATTAAAAGAGAACAAAAATAAATAAAAAACGAGTATTTAAAAGCTCTTAATTCTGTTGTTTGCGGTAACAGCTGTTGTTGTTAGTGTTGTTAAACGTCAATAAAGAAGAAACAGTACAATCCGGCAGCGGTAGATAAGTCTGAGAGCGTATTATGGATAACGAAGCGTTAGAAGCAACAGCAAAAAGCACGACAGCAGCAGCAGCGGCGGTGTCATCAACGTCAGCGATAGAGGCGACAGCGCCTACCAAAAATGAAACGGCCGCAACAAATAACAACAACACTATTAAAGTCACAACTGCCGCTAACGGTATCAAAGAGAATAACAGTAGCTTTAGTACAACAGCAACATCTCCAGCAGCAGCAACAACACCTATCATTGTGACCAGCGGAATCGTTGCTACTCCCATCAAAAGCGAGGTGAGTAATAAATGTTGTTCATATATTATATGTATGTACATAGTACATGTGCACAATTCGGTGTCGAACACTTGTCACTTCTAGTTAATAATGTATGCATATTTCAATATTAAAAAGCCAAAAAAAGACTTCATATCCTCGTTCAAGTGCAGCAAAATCGCAATTGAGATAAGGCGTATTTTAAAAGACCTTAACTAATTTGTAAAAAAATATTTTTATATTAACATTTGTTTAAACAAAGCGTTCGCATATCAAGCAACGACTGTATTACAAGCAAAGTGAAATATGCATATAATTATTAGTAATATTGCAATACAATAAATACCTAATCTCCCGTCCCAAACTAAGCATGTTTAATGATTGACGTCAATTATAGAACAATTTGTGTGTTACCCTCGGCGAACCCCTAATATACTTATATATATACTTCCTTCTGGCCCCAACCTAAACGCACAAATGTATATCTAATCTTATCATCGCCAATGTGTGCCCATATGCCTAATGATTGATTCCAATTAGATTCTTAGTTTCTGCTTTCGAATCAGAATTCTATGTAGTAATTCACCAATACTTATGCATACATATATTAGTATATGTATGTGTGCTTAGAGAGTGCACATTTACTTGTTGCCATTACTAAAAACAAGACTAACAACCCACAGGCGACAGCTCGACTTAGGCGGCAAGGATTTGCACAGAACAAGGTAATGGGAAAGGTCCTACGCAAAAAGAACTAAATGTTTGCAAGTGTTTTGCTCTTTACTTTGTTTGGTTTTTCTTTTTGTTTCGCTCTCTTGCTTCACTTTCCCTTGCCCCCTCTCTCATTCTACGATTAAACAGCCCTTTTTTGGCTGACCATGAATTTGCTTGATATTTGCAGGCTAACAAGACAGACAAGGACAGCACACCACCGCGTGATGCACCGCCACCCACTCCTATCACAAAGGGTTTGAACCTAACCGGCACACCGCTGGTGCGCAAGGAAAAGCGACAGAGCAGCACCCGTTACAATGTATCTAAGAACTGTGAACTAACGGCGCTTAATACGTTGAATGAAAGTAAGTACACTGAACATGCACAAACATACGTACACATTTAAGTATGTGTATGTATGTATGAGCCTTATTTACACATGTAATTTTGTTGTATGATTTGCGTATGCCGCACAGCTGTCGAACTGCAGTTGTTTGTCGGTATTTTTTATTGCGTTATTATTTATTAAGCAAGTTCGCAAAGGTCAAGTGAGCGATGTTCATTTTGCTGGGTTGCTCAACACTTCACCATACATACATACGCACACATGCATAAACATATACGTTTTTAAATGTACATGTGTTAGTTACGCCCGCCGTCTCATTTTTGCCACTTGCCTTGCGCGCTATTTACGCTCTCCCATCGCATCCCTCTATGTCCGTTCAGGCACTCTCTCTAAAACGCAATGATTTTTTATTTTTTATTATTGCCTATCCACTTGCTAATTATTTAAACGTTTGCTGTTGGCATTAAATTCGTTCTCTTTTAGCCAGTTTGGCCAGTGCTGTTGAGGCTGATATTTTTGGCGCTCTCTTCACTCATTTACTGTTTCTCTCGCTCTCATTCTCTCTCTATATATATAAGTAAATATATATTTATTGCTCTCTTGTGCTCATCCTGCGCTCGCCCACGGGAAATGTTATCGATTTTTCCGCCTGCGTGCCCTTAACAAATTGCCCTGCAGTCAACACGGTTCTCTGACAGCTCTGTATTAAAAAAATTTAAATAAACAGTTTTAATTGTTGCACATCCGTTGTGTTTAACAAATTTGTTCCGTTATCACACGTATTGCCAGTCGAGCGAAAAAAGAACCATATAGTAAAAATTCCGGACATTGCGAAAACCGGTACCATTTCCAATACAAATTCGTAAGTGCTGAAATGTAGAATATACATACAATATATATATGAATTTATATATACGTATATATATATATTTATATATACTATGGTATATATTGCAGTAGTTGCTGACATAGCCAAGTTGTCTCTATACATCTCTATAATGTCTCGCTTGAGACTGCCTAAACAGCAATTACTTCATTTTTCCTTTTCATAAACTTTTTATTTCCGTTTTGCAATTCATTCGTTATCATTTACCCTCATATGCATACTTAAAAATATCATAATCTATATATTGCAATTCCATTTACAGATGCTATAAACATAAATTGCGCAAACAAAAAAAAATTATTAGAAAAATTAACTTAAATAGTGTCGCATTTTTCCTACTCATCATCGTTCCTGTTGTTGTTGGTTGTTCGTTTGGTTCATGTTTTGATTGTTATTCAAGTCGCTCAATTAGCAAATGCGAGTATTAAGCCAAAGTGCGCCGCCATTAAACCAAGTGCGGCTCTAATGAAATGGTCATCGGTGCTATGTTGTTGACGGGCAAACAGCTAAACGGCACCCCCAAGCAGCAGCAAGCGACTGCCAACAACAACACAAGCAACACAGCTGCAGCAGCAGAAACACAGGAGCCACCACAACAACAACAGCAGGCAACAGCAACAGCAACAGTTGCTGCTGGCTACTATGCACTGGGTGGAATACGTATACCCAAGTCGCCATCGTTTCACAGCGGCCTAGATCAACTGGCTGACGACGAGGATCAGCAGCAACAGCAATCGACGGATCAGGGCAGCAAATTCAAGTTTAGCAGCGTGGAAGAGTTGAAGGCAAAGTTTGAGCTGCAGGCACGCAAAATGCCACTATCGCCGCCAGAGGCAACTGCCAACACCGCCACCGCAACCACCAACGCATCATCATCGCCATCATCCTCATCGACTAGCTCGAACTCATCAGCCTCTGCTTTGTCATCGCTGTCGCAGGCTGGCTCATCCTCTATAGCCTCGGCTGCTGCGAGCTTAACGGCTTCCACATCATCAGCAGTCACATACGGTGGTGGTGCGAACTCGGCGGCCGCAGCGTTAATTGCCTCCTCATCGCCATTTGGCTCACAATCCTCAACGTCCTCATTGTCGCTGTCGTCCGCGGCGACAAATGTAGCAGCTACAACAACAACAACAACAACAACAATAACTGGAGCCGCAGCTCCGGCCGCAACTTCTTCAACAGCATTCATGTCTAAGCAAGCACCCAGCACCACCGCAAGTGTAGTTGCATCTGGAAGCAGTGGCAACTCTCTGGTATCCACCTTGGCGCAACATTTCACGGCAGCAAGCACCGGCAGCTCGTTGCTAAGCACGGCAACAGCCGCTAGCACATCGGCAACATCACCAGCCAGTTCGTCCAGCAACAAGGTTTGCAGCAATTGAACACAAACACATTCAGACACACACAGAGAGACAAACGTTGTACACATAATGAAAGAAATTCCTCTGCTCTACTCATTTCATAAATCAAAATCACGCAACCTACTCTCAAAACATCATTCAACAGTCACCCGTGAGTGCCGCCGCGGCCATTAAGAACATATTGAATGCCACAAAAAGTGTCGGCAACAGCAGCAGCAGCAACAGCACAAGCAGCAACAGCGAAGGAGCAGTAGCGACTGAAGAGCCGCTGCGCTCGACAGTGGCACAGAATCTGGTCGGTGGCATTAGCATTTCCTTGGGCATTGGCCAGCGCAATGGCAGTAGTGCAGCGACTGTGGCATTGGTATCGACATCATCAACTGTGTCGTCGTCGTCATCAGCAGCGTCTGTTTCAGTGCTACGTCAGAATGGCGATGTAATTGGTCACAATCTATCGTCGCCGTCGCAGACGCTGCAGCAGCTGACTGGAAGTCCAGGACGTGCACGCGATCGGAATCTGTTTCATTCGCCACCCAACGCATCAACTGCGCTGGCTTTGCCGCCACTGCGAGGTTCCTATTGGTTACGCTCCTCCAACCTTAGCTTCCATTAAAGAAACAATTTGTTTTTAGTTAGCTTGCTTTTGTCAGTTGGTTTATGTTGTTTCGTTGCCCTTTGTTTCGATTTCGTAGCGCTTTCATTTTTATACTTGCTAGCTAATATATATTTACTAAATCCATCTCATTATTTGTATTCATAGAGACCCCAGCGCAGGAACGGGAGGAACTGTTCCTGCAGAAGCTACGACAATGTTGCACTCTGTTCGATTTCTCGGAGCCGCTAAGCGATCTCAAATGGAAGGAGGTCAAGCGAGCCGCCCTGCACGAGATGGTGGAGTATCTGTCCAATCAAAATGGTGTTATTACAGAAATTATATACCCGGAGGCCATCAACATGGTAAGTATAAATCGAACGAATATCTTTTAACAATTTCTAACTATATTGTTTGGTTTAGTTTTCTGTGAATCTTTTTCGAACCTTGCCGCCTTCGTCGAATCCCAATGGCGCTGAGTTTGATCCAGAAGAGGATGAGCCTACTTTGGAATCATCTTGGCCACATTTGCAATTGGTCTATGAACTATTTTTGCGTTTTTTGGAATCGCCCGATTTTCAGCCAAATATTGCGAAACGTTATATTGATCATCAATTTGTATTACAACTGTTGGATTTATTCGATTCGGAAGATCCTCGTGAACGTGATTTCCTTAAGACTGTTTTACATCGCATCTATGGCAAATTCTTGGGATTGAGGGCATTTATTAGAAAGCAGATCAACAATGTGTTTTACAGGTATACAAATGAATAAGTATTTAATTAAATGATCTATAAAGAACGAACCATTTACTACAATATGTATAAAATGATATAGTGTAAAATATTTAAGTTATGTTTTAGAATATATTAGTTTTTCTCTTATATATTATTAATTTATCTTGCTCTTTATTTCCATTTGCAATTAATTTGCAGATTTATTTATGAAACTGAGCATCATAATGGCATTGCCGAGCTGCTGGAAATCTTAGGCAGCATCATTAATGGGTTCGCTTTACCGCTGAAGGAGGAGCACAAACAATTTTTACTTAAGGTATTGCTGCCATTGCACAAAGCCAAAAGCCTCTCCGTCTACCATCCACAGCTTACCTATTGTGTGGTGCAGTTTCTTGAGAAGGATCCCAGTTTATCGGAGGCGGTTATTAAGTAAGCAATTTATCATTTGATTTTTTTAATATAACCGAATTTAACTATTTACCAACTGCTTTTTGCAGAAGTCTATTAAAGTTTTGGCCGAAAACGCATAGTCCCAAGGAGGTGATGTTTTTGAATGAGGTGGAGGAGCTCCTCGATGTTATTGAGCCAGCTGAATTTCAAAAGGTCATGGGACCACTCTTTCGACAGATATCTAAGTGCGTTTCCTCGCCCCATTTTCAAGTGGCAGAGCGTGCACTTTATTATTGGAACAATGAGTACATTATGTCTCTGATAGCGGACAACTCGCAGACCATTCTGCCCATCATGTTTCCAGCGCTAAATCGAAACTCCAAGACCCACTGGAATAAGACTATACACGGCCTCATTTATAATGCACTCAAGTTGTTCATGGAGATGAATCAACGGCTTTTCGATGAGTGTAGCAAGAATTATAAGCAAGAGAAGCAACAGTGAGCAAAAAAAAGAACACTTATGGCCTTATACCATATATATATATATTTATTATCAATTCAGAGAACGCGAGAAGCTTACGCAACGCGAAGAGCTGTGGCAACAAGTGGAAAGTCTGGCCAAAACCAATCCGGAATGGACGAAGGTACGTCGATTTGAGAATGATGGCCTCCCAATGTCCGATAGTCAAATACTATACGATCAATACAATGAGAATTGTGATCTAACCTACGATAAGATTGAACAACAACCAAGGCCGCAGTTGCAATCGCAATCACAGGCATCACTAAAGCAACAGCCAAACCAGGAGCCCAGAGAGGTGAGACAAGCTCTAGCCACACTTACCACACTACACAACTACTAACTGAACGCAGTTACACTCGCGTATTTGTATGTGAGTGTATGTGTGTGTTTGATTGTGTGCTTGCGCAACAACCAGCCAGATTATCCTTCAACCACCTGTCTTAACACTAATCGTACGAACGAACTAATGAATGCTTCTTCAAATCAATAATCGCACTCGTTTCAGTTATAAATATATGTTTCTGTATCTGCATCTATTAATATATGTACAATTTATTTAATCGTTTTTTACTGTATAATCAAAACCAAACACCTACTCACCTATATCCTTTACCTATCTAATGAATTGTGAATCGGATTATCTACAAGTGAATTTACTTGACTTACAAGATACCCTGCACAAACCCATTTAACTATACTCTATTAACATTTAGTTTAAAACAAACAAATATCTTTCAACCCCATTATTAATCCAACTGATTTATTATCGGAAACATATCTAATTATTATAAAACACATGCATTTTAGCTAGGCTACTTTTTAACTTAAAATTCTATGCATAACTGTTGTCACAAAAAGCTTTCTGAATTACAATGGATTGATTGTCGATCAAATTGCCTGTGCAATAAAAAGAAAGAATTCATTTCTGAATAAACATTTTTTTGCATATAGAAAATTGTCATGTAAATATATCAGTGGTACTCTTAATGAAATCGATTATCCAAACTATCGATTTTTGAGATTGAACAATTAGTTTAAAGTAATGTGAGAATTAAAATAGGTTTTTATTTACTGTTAAGTAGACCTAAATTAATTTTGACTCACTTAAACTAGCAATTTCTACTCACTACGTCCATTTACTTTAAGTCCAACTACTACTCTTATATATGTATATTTTTATCATATATAGTATATGAATGTATGTGTGATGTGGTTCTTTTAAATGGTGCCACGGTAACTAATTTAGCACGCATTCTCTGAGTCACGTCATTTAACTGCACCGGCAATAACCTCACAGATCTTGTAACTGTCAAACGTGTGCACTTGTGCAATCGTTAATCGTTGAACGTAATCGATAATCCGTGTGGGGTTCGGCAGGGGACCAACATTAAAAAATGCTTTACGTCTGCATTACGTTCTCGCCCTCGCCCACAGATACGCGGCGAACGGAACAAGGAGAAACCACTAATACGACGAAAATCCGATCTGCCCTCGGACAGCGGCACCGTGCGCGCCCTCATCGAGCACAAGCGACCCGATGAGTACCTGGCAACGCCGCCCCCAGATGCTAACAACTATTAGGCCACTCCCCTCACCCCGCCCCCACTCGGGCTGGTCCTCAAGTGCCCGAACGCTGGCGTAGCAAAGGTTCTACTTAGATTAACGCACACAGAACAGTTATATACAAAGCGAAGCAAAAACAAAAACAAAATATACAAGTCTAATCGATGATTATAATGATATGGGGTTGGATGATGCTGAAGATGATATGATAACGGCGATAATGATAATGATGATAATAATGAGAATACTGATAATAAACCAAGGTTAATAATCGTTGTATGTTTCGTGAGCGTGTGCAGCACACAACGTCTATAGAAATATATTATATTAAAATTTAAAATACAACATATTAAGTAAATAAACATGCAGAGTACCAACCAATAAAGAGTTTAAATCCCAATCAAGAGACCTAGCAAAATGCTTTCTGACCTACTTGACTTACTCAACACTGCATGATAATAATAAAATAAAAAAGAAGTTTTACTCCAAATTGTTGTTTTGCATGCAATTATTGATAATTAGCAAGTTATATATCATTTCGCAATATTAATACGGATTCATTATGCTCTTTCCATTTCAGTGAATACGTCAAAATTTGTACAGTTTTTGAATTGACATTGCGTAAGAATCAACCACCTATGATTGAGCATTAGATACCCATATATATATATATTTATATATATATATACTTATATATATGTGTACTACTACTTCGTTCTAACTATAATACTCATCCATTGCAAATATCTAACGGTATACAAACTGTCAAAAATGATATACATATATCGATTTATATGCCAGCCAAGTGAGCGGTCTGTAACGACTTTAAACACCTTTCCAACACTAGTCATTGTAATTCTTATAAATGTAATATATAAACTTTGCAGCGTTGGTTATTTTTTGTTTACAATGAACGGATATGTCTATATACATATGTGGCACAACAAATAAAAGCTGATAAATATTATCTAAAAAATTAAAATTTAATTATAGAATATGCCGAGCTTATTAAATACTTAAAAACTAACAAATTCTGAGAAAGATTGAGATAGAAATAATTTTATTATATTTTGCTGACAATATATCAATATAAAATTGCTAAAATATACTAATTAACTTAACAAGCAAACTAAATAATTAAATAAAACAAATTGGCAAACTTAACAAATTTACATAAATTATAATTATTATAGTAAATTCACAATTTCGATTTATATTCAAACTTATACATAATTCATTTACAAGAATAGAGTAACAAACAGTTATATAAATAATATTTGGGTAAGGATCAGCTCACTTAAGTGCAAAATTCTTGACTTTTGTATATCGTTACATATAGTCTGGTTATATTAGTTAGTGGCTATACATATATATATATATATATATATATATATATATATATATATATATATATATATATATATATATATATATATATATATATATATATATATATATATATATATATATATATATATATATTTATATATATATATATTATTCAGCTCGAGTAGAGGCAGCGAACCCTAACGTAATAAATTATAATTATTATACTATATGCGATTACCAATAGCAGCTTAATTATACTATATACATGCATTTGTTAAAAACAAATGTATGCACATTTATGTGTTTCTATGAATGTATGTCTGTTTTTTTTTTCTGTGTGTGAGTGTATTATAAGAGTGCTATAAATGATGAAATCCACATTGATGGGGGATACTTACTTCTATATAATTTAAAAGATGATACTCCTTTAAATAAATTTACATTGAAATATTTTTCTTCTCTGTGAGTTGGGATCATCGGCACTTCATATGATTACTCCAAGTTAATTCGCATCCAGAATATGAAGTATGTATATCGTGCGATCATTATATACTATCTTCCATTATAAACATTATTCTCTGGAAACGGGGCGGAATACAGACTTGCACTGTTGCCGGTCGTACGTATACACACGTTAAAGCGCTGGTAACTGGTCCAGATTCTTAATAAATATAAAATACAACTATTGTATCTAGACGTCGGATTGCAAAACCTTATCAAATTTTTGCTACCACTTCCAAGTGCTGTACAGGCCAAGTAAATGAAAGGCTTCATTTAGTTATAGACACATAAATATATTATATATATAGAGATGTATTTACATATTTTTGGCATTATTGATATATATCTATATTGAAGGTTACAGAACAATAAATGAAAACAATTAAAAGTGAATAAAGCAAAAATTTGTCTAGGTTGGAAAACGGTGAAAAAATCAAAGTTTTCAATCTAAATCCACATAAAACTCATTAAGTTAAAAAGGCCTAAAACAAAAATGTATGGAATTTGTAATAAAAGGCATATAAACCGTTAACAAGAGCGTATAATTTTTGTAAATGTATAAATAAAGTTAAATTGTAAAGAAATTAAAAAAAACAGCCTTTTTCCAACACATTTGATAAACCGAAACAGGATGAATAAATGAAATATCGACGAGAATAGTCTAAATAAATTTAAAATTTCCGAACTTAGGATCAAGATAAAATATAAAATTGCAGAAAGATTCTTTAAATTAATATATGTGTTTTGTTATACCGGATTTTTTTAGACTACTCTCGCATTTTCGAGCTAAATATTTGACACCTATAAAAAAAACAACTTAATAGCAAGGAACATTTACAGAGCGTCTTAATTACAATTAACAACTAAATAGAAAAATAAAATATAAGAGTTTTGGCCACGGGTTCCAGAAACAGGGTTTTCAATTAACTGGGGATTGAAGTGGGACAAGTCCGCGCGTCTTAACGGCCAACTCCCCAAGATGTTGCTGCAGCAATCGTTTGTTGACTTTTATTCTGATAAATTAACAAAAACGAAATTAGTTTAAGGAGTTGCAACTGTTTTTATAGGACTTACTTGATAATAAGTGTTACGTAACGTGACTTCTCAGCCTCGCTAATGAGCTCAGTGGGAAAATTGGGTACGGACATAACATTCTTTAGCCAGACGGCCAGTTCGGCTGGATACTTTTTGTTAATGGACAGAAATACATCAGCAAATTTTTCAACCTGTTGTCGCGGTGTCATGTAGCCCACACAGATCATCGCAGTTTGAATAATCTGCTCCCCGGAGGCCAGCATTACGTCGGTCATGTGTGCATGATTCCTGGATTGCATTACGAATTGAGTTACAAATTGTGTACTAGCTCGGATGGGCCCATTCTCTGGCAATAACATGGCACGCTGTGCATAGTAAATTAGCCGATCGTACGCGATAGTTTTGTCCTCCAGAACCTGTGGTACCTTTTTAACAATTTGGGTCAGGCAGGCGAAAAACATTTCCATGGTATCAGATATATTTGAAAAGTTTTGCTGGGGCGTATTCTCAAAGAGTTTGAAACTATGCTGCACAAACTCCAGCAACAGCTGTTGCATCATCGGCTTGCAGTTCTCCTCCCAGAAAAAAATGATAATGGCCTGAAAAAGTGGACATATAATGTCGAATCTTTATATATTACTGATGTATTAAATGCTAACCGTTTTAGATATCTCCAGCGTGGGTGCACAGCAGCGTGTTTGAAAGCTTGCAACAATGAAATAGCACAAATCCTGCAACATGGGCTTGAAGCTGCTTCTCAAATTAACAATGGCATGTTTCAAAGCGCTACAAGCAGCCTGTGGAAATGAAGATTTAAACAATTGTAACATGTGTATAGTAGCTAAATAGGCACCTCTAGCACATCTATTTCCTCCACCCACACTTCGGCAATGCGTCGAAATATTGGCATTGTTTTTTGCATAACCAACAGTACCGGCTGCACATTGTGTACATCTTTGAGTTCATCATCCAGATCAGTGTTAAGTGACGAAAATAGTGTGGATATCATGTTGAGGCGAAAGATTGTACGTATGCGCGCTGCTGGAGTTGTCTACACAGTATATAATACATATTATATATTATCATAAATGTAATAAAGCAATTGCTTACGCTGCCTGCCTGACAAATGGTCTGCAGTTCCTCAAAGCAGGGACTGACTATGATATCCAGATATTTGGGAATCTGCTCCGGTGGTAACAAACTCATTAATTTCCCAATGCTAAACATTAAACGCACTGAATCCGAATTCTTCATGCGACCCGTTACAAGCGTTGCTTGACAAGCATCGAGCAGTGGCTCAGCAAACGGCTTCAATTGCATTTGGCAATCGCGACACAGCTCCTTGAGACCGAGCGTAGCCTGTGCCGACATAGTAGAATTGAGACCGCGCACCAGCAGATCAATGGCTGGTGGTATATAAGTGGGATTATCCATTAACCAAGAGCAATAAGATCCAATTGTCTCGAGTGCAGTGCCCAATAGTTTCTCGTTAAGTTTCTCATACGGTATCTCTGAGAGCACACGCATTAACTTGGGTATCTGGCGAGATTCCTCACCACCGAAGTGTTCGGCCACCGATTGAAACGAATATATGCACGCCTCCAGCTTAGTCCAGTGTGTGGGATGAGCCTGAAGCTCGACAATGGCCTCGTCTAACATAGCGGCTAATATCTCTAATATATAGTCGTCCAATACATCATAGCAATACATCTGCAGACGACAGGAAATATAAGTATAATTTATATATGTATAACTAGAGTTGATGCTTACAAAAGTGTCGGATATATCCTGGCGATAACAGCGAAAACATTCTAGATCATCCGAGTTCCATTTATCAATGGAACTCTCGTCGGGTTGCTCGGATTTACGAACGAGCACGGTGGTCAAATGCGCGTATAGTGGTTTTATATGCTCCCAACATTTGCGCTTCTGCTCATCGGGCATGGCAAAGACATCGCCCTGCAGCATATACCAAAATGCCAAAGCCATGGTGCTGCATGATTCTTCAACGGGGTAAATACCCGGCTTGTCTGTGCATTGCAATATCTCATGTACCATGCGACTCCATATTGCAGATAGCTCTGGATCTGTGGCCGTAATGCCGCTCAAGAATAATCCCGAATGTCGCTCTACAGCGGTCACAAACAGCATATAGATATGCACAATGATGTCTTCATTGTCATTATCACGCTTCCATTCTACTTGTGTAATATCGCACAATGAATCTAAAAACATCTTGATCAGCACCGCTGCCGTCTTCGGATAGTTGTGACAATCGGGTTGAACTATAATGCTGACCATTGCAGTGAGACAAGTCTCCGCGAGCTCATTTTCATCTGCGGACATGCAACCAACTCCCGAACGAATGCACGGCCAGTAACACTTGTTTACTATCTCCAACAATACTACACAGATGCTGACGCAAGCTTCAATCGAGTAGCCAATATTTCTACAAGAGTATTAGCGTGGGTAAGAGATCATTAAATTAATGTTCATATTTAAAATTATTTCGTACCTAATCCACACATTGACGCACTTCACTGCCCGCGTCATATTGCTGTAACCTTCGGTGTCCCATTCAGTCCCCATTTGTTGCTTCAAAAAGGTTTCAATCGTCTGCAGCACGAGCGGTACACGCTTTCCAATCTCGCCGCGCAACGTAACCCTCTTAACGGAGGTGTGAATCACCTGCGCCTCCTCCGGGATACCCAACAGCACTTCCAACATAATCCACAGCTGAGCCTCGGCGCTAACATTCGGTATACGTTGACTTTGGAACGTCTCGATCACTTCTTCAATGGCGCAGGGCCAATCTTCGAGCATGTGCACAATATAAGCACTCAACTGTGAAAGAAAGGTTGAAATTTAAAATTATGAAATTTGAATGCACAAATTATGCTCTTACCGATAGACAGAGGCGATTGAGCACTAATTTGGGGCCTGCGGCGAATTGCACAATTGTCTCCAAAATTTTTTGTTTTAACTCTTCACGATTTTCGGCAGGTACTTCGTGCCAATATTTCATCAGTTTGGAGTGCAATGTTATTGCGCCAAAAAATTGCACTTCCTGACTCTGTTATAGTAGAAATAAAATTGATTTTCTCCAGGTGTTCAATTAGATATCCACCCCCCCACTTACTTTGCCCAGTTGCATGAGCTGCCAGGCGAACTGCCAAGCCTGTGGGCTGGCCTCGGCCTTCGTCAACCATTCGTGTGTAATTGCCTGGTCCTGCGAGTTGGATTGGTAAAAGACAACTACTGCCTCTTCCAGTCGGGCAATATCAATTGTTTCCACGCTTTCCATGCTCAAATATTTCAAATTACCTGTATACCTGTATAGCCCAAGTCCCAGCAATTTAGCAACAGGACTTGGCTTTTTCAATTATTTCTATTTTGTTGCAAAAATGAGCTTCTAACGCCTAGAGATGGCCAACAATTTTAATGCATCCACAATATCGATAAGTCCAAGTGATAATAAAGTTAAACGATAATAAGAATTAACATTTGCACATAATATGCGAATATCGATTACTTACTTTCGATTTTTATTATCGGTTTCTTGCTGAATTTTTGACCAGTGCAAAAGCATTCCATTCTACAGTACTGAAGTTATTAGCTCAGGTTTTAAATTTTTTCATTGGTTTGCTTTTTTTCCAATAAAATGTTCTAACACATGGAATGCATCCAAAACATTGAAAGACCAGGTTCACACAGTTATGTAAATCGATAATTTGCAAATATCGATTACTGGCTGGACGATTTTGAATTTTTAAACTGCGAGTTTAATAATTAAATGATGACTAACCATATCTCACCGCATTCAAAACGAGTTGAAGCTGGTGACGCCAAGCATTCAAAATATTTAGACTACTACTAAGTAGTTGTATTGAGATCAAGATTTTTTTAATGAGTAAATTAAAATATCCGAGAATTTTACTACTTACTAAATTGCATTTTGATAGAGTAGAATAAACACTAAAATTGTCATTTATTGAAGTTTGAGGTGAGGACTACCCACAATTTCATGAGTAGACCCCACATCAGCCAAATCCATAGTAATAAGCCAAATCAAAGTAATATTCTATTATAAATATGAATGTTAGCCACTAGCTAATTTTATATTGATTTCAGATTACGATTGATCGTTTGTTCATTTATTTCCAAAGATTTTTTTAAATTGCTTCGTTCCTTTTATTTTTTAAGTTTTGTTCTGAGTTACCGGTTAGTTAAAATAGTTAGTTCGCTTTATAAAGCAAAACAATGTTTAAAAAAATTCGTTTTTGTGTATAGACAAAATGTGTTTTCATTTTGTTGTCTGCCACAATTTCATGAATAACAACTAAACAACTTATCTGATTGTCAAATGTGTGATCGACTGCTTTTTATTTCTTGATGTGGCAATATTCTTAATGTAATATACTACTTCTTTTCGCTTTTCGTCAACGGTGGATTTATAACAACGGTTACATTTCAGGGTTGCTATTTAGTGAGTTAAAGTGTTGTAAAACGAAGAAATAATATCATTCTGAACACCTACACTCCGCATTGACCGTAAACAAACTCACTGTAAACAAAATTTGCAAATTAATAAAGAAGACGTAAGATGGCAATACCCAAGCGCTTGCTGATAATTGACAACGGATCTTATGAATGCCGTGTTGGATGGCATAATAGCAAGAAACCGGACTTGCGATTTCGCAATGTACTTACCAAGCCGCGGAAAGATCGGAAAAAGGATAGCAACCAGTTGCCGGATTCTTCTGCTACTCCTGCAACAATCGTTGACGAACTGAAAGCTAATGCAGAAATCCAAATTGGAAATGATATAACAAACATTGAAGCAGTGCGAGCTCATCTCAAGTCACCCTTTGAGCGCAACGTGGTCACCAATTGGAATCATCAGGAGCAAATCTTTGACTACATCTTCAGTAAAATGGGCTTTGATGGGGAGACGAGCATTGACCATCCCATTGTCTTAACCGAAGCGTTGGCTAATCCCAATTCGTGTCGCCGCCAAATGACCGAATTGCTCTTTGAATGTTACAATGTGCCGGCGCTTTCTTATGGCATCGATGCACTCTACAGCTGGCATCACCATCAACAACAACATAAATCTGTTTCAGATGCACTTATTATATCCTTTGGATATAACACGACACATGTGATTCCCGTTCTAGCAGGCAAGATGCAGCTGCAACATGTTCGTCGCTTAAACGTGGGTGGATTTCACATAAATAATTATTTATTTCGTCTGATGCAAATGAAGTATCCAGTGCATCTAAATGCCATCTCAAGTCGCATCGAAAAACTGGTCCATGACCATTGTCACATTGCAAAGGACTACAGGGATGAACTGCTAAAGTGGGCTCAATTGGACTACTACGAGGCGCACATTATGAAAATTCAATTGCCCTACAATCAGGTAACAGCGACCAATGCACTGCTCACAGCAGAGCAAAAGCAGGAAAAACGCCGAGAGCTTGCGTTGCGACTGCTGGACATTAAGAATCGTCGAGAACGTGAAAAGTTACAGGAAGATGAGGATTATTTGCTGGTGCTGCGTAAGCTAAGGCAGCTCCATGAACAACAGAAATTGCAGAAATTTGAACGTGCGTTGCAACAGCAGCAAGTTGCTAACCTGGAGGAACTGGACAAGCTAATCGGCACGATAACAGCGCGCATTAAGCGTGTAAAGGAACGCGCCACTGCTCAACCGAAGCCCAGTAAACAGCAAGATAAGCTAGACAAACTTCCCAAACCGCCAGAGGGTGTATCGCAATCGCAATGGCTGGCGGATCTGCGTGAGAAACGGGATCAGCTGCAGCAACGAAAACAGGCTCGCCAGCAACAGCGACAAGAGCAGGCTAAGCGTCATACGCATGCTGCACAGGAGCGAATGAGGATCATCTCAACACTCGCCCGCAGTGAAAAACGGCGCAAGGCAAACGGCGGAGATGAGGAAGACGATGGCTTTGGCATGAACGATAACGATTGGGATGTATACAAACGAATCAATCGGTACAACGACGACAGCGACTCCGATGCGGAAAATGAACGGATGCTTGAGTATGAGAAGATCTTGCAGCATTACGATGCCAACTTTGATGATGGAAGCAACAATGCGGCCATGCAAGCACTTATTGCGGCCGAGAACTATCAGCTCCATTTCGGAGTCGAGGCTATACGCGTGCCGGAGATACTATTTCAGCCAAGCATGATTGGTTGCTCGGAAGCGGGTCTCGCCGAACTGATTGCGTTTGTGTTGAAATTTTTCACAGGCGAGGAGCAGCAGCGCCTGGTTGATCACGTCTACCTAACGGGCAGCTGTGCACAATTTCGTGGCTTGAAGGAAAGACTGGCTAAGGAAATGCTTGAGCTGCGTCCATTTCAGTCCAGCTTTGCCATCTATGAATCTAACGATCCTGTGTTAAGCGCCTGGCTGGGCGCCTGCTTACAGGCGAATGGAAAGAGATTCAGTGAGTCTTTAACCACAAAACATCTTTACCAAGAGCATGGCAGCGAGTACTTTAGGGAGCACAGTGCGAGCAATATCTTTTATCCTACACCAAAAGATTAGATTTTATTATTTATAACGACCATCCAATTAAATGATATTTCATAATTAAAATAATAGTTCGGTTACTTCGTTCCCGAACAACAAATTCCAGGACTTGGGTACGGTTAACTTGAAGCTTCCGTCGCCGCCATCATGTAACTGCAAAAAATCTTCGCAAAGCTCATTCAACTCGCGCACAATCAGTGACGCATCCGTAGAATTATCGCCCTCGAGTAAATAGCGGAAGAGCAGCATGACCGGCACCTGTTTCTCCTTAAATGCTTGGAATAACTGCAAGGCATTACCTCCGCCAAATATATGTTCGCCAGTGTGCTCCTTCCACTTCACCAGCGACGTCTTACCATCCAGCTGTGCGGCATGTGCTGCCTTAAAGTTATCACTGGCACGGTAAGCCCATGGTGAATCATCAATAAAACGTCGCTCGAAGCCAAAGCTGCCGCTCAATATGATAACACGACGTGCAGCTTGAAGCAGTTCCACTAAATTAATTTGGAAAGTTTTTGTGTGTCGTGCAATGAGTGGTGTACGGAATTGTATAACCAGCAGCTTATCCTCGACTGATTCATACAACTCACACGATGAGACAAATTCATTTGGTTCGTGCTGGTATGCTGACGGCCCATAGACAGGGATCAAAGCTGAATGAGATAGGTTACCAATGCGTTTCAACTTCTTCGATGCAATCAACAGGTCGCAGGCTAATTGCGCTGCATTGCCCACACAGATGCTAGGTATGATCACGGTGTAATTTGCCACATCTAGCTTTGTTGCTTTGTTTTTAAGATACAGCATTTTGCTAAAGTTGTATTCTGCGGCTTGCTCCATAATATTGAAATTCAACAAAAATATGAAAGTAATGTTTCTGTGTTGTAAAGTGACAGCATATGCTATCGATACTTTTAAGTTGTTAAACTGTCGCTAATAATGCAACCCTGCTCGCTTACTATTTGTGTTTTTTTTTGTGCAAATGCCCGGCTCTTGGAGATTTGACGAATTGAAACATGTCAAACTCGGTTAATATATCCGTGGAGACAACGTGCGAGAACCAAATACGTGAGATCGCCTACGATGGCACTGAATTATACCAAGCGTGAGCTACCGAAACAAACAATATTGTATGCACTTCTTTTTCTCAACAAGTTGCTTCACAGGCCGCCGACGCTCTCAGAGAGTCTAGCAAAGTGCGCGGCTCGCATAGACTTTAGCAAGACGTCGTTGGATGATCTAAAGAAAGAGGAAAAATCAGCTGCAGCAGCAACTGAAGATGACAAAGATGCCAACCAATTTCAGGAGAGCCTTTGGCCTTGGGATGCAGTACGTAATAAGCTGAAGGATGCGTACACAGAAATCTGTGTGCTATCCGATGTGATATCGATTGCCAAGGATAAGCGTTACCTAGTGCTGGATCCACTGTTGGAGGATGGCGATGATACCAAGCCCATTGTACAAGTGTACAGTCGCAAAAAGGCCATTTCACAGGCTGCTCAGGTTCTATTGAGTGGGGCCGAGCGGCTACGCAATGCGCACAGTGAACAGCGTAGTCGCAACGTATCGGACTTTCATATAGAGCTGCTGCGTCTGCGACAAAATTGGCGTTTGAAAAAGGTCTCCAATGGAGCGATCATTGGCGATCTTAGCTATCGCACAGCGGGCTCCAAGTTCGGCATGAGTGGCACTTTTGAGGTGACTAAGGCGGAGGAAGCATTGGACGACGATGGTGCCGGCAACAGTGCAAATGCTTCCTCTGGTGCAAGTAACAGCAGCACGAACAATGGCATGCAGTTGAAGGCAAGCTCAGCGCTGCGAGTAATTGTTCCCGCCGAGCTGCAGGGCGTAGCATACATTAAGGTCATCACACAAAAGGATCAGGAAGATCTATGCACGGCGCAGGTAACACACACTAACGTTTAACTAATCTAATACTTACTCTAAATCTTTGCCTTAGGTAAATTTAATGGGACATGGACCCAATATAACTGCCCAGGTGGGGGTTTGGCAAAAGACATTGGAGTTCGCACAGAATGTGCTGTTTTGCAAGGAACTGTTTGCTCAGCTGGCACGCGAGGCCATTCAGTTGCAGGCGCCAATACCCCATGTAGTTATTGGCAATCAGATTCGTGCAACACTGCTGCCCAATATTCAGTTAATCATCTCACTATGTCACTCGACTAGCTTCGATTCCAGTCAGCCGGCGCCAATTAATGATCACGATCATGTGCTGGAACACTCGCTACACCAGCTCTTGCGAGAGGTGCACTTCAAGAACTCACATCATCCATTTCCGCATCCGGCCAGCGCACCGCTAGGACCTAGCAAGAAGCGCATGATTGCGGGACCAACAGCGGCGGATCGGGAGGCACTTCTGGACATGACCAAGACGCAGACAATACTAGAGCAAATTATTGCACAAGCGCAGCATATCTTCATGCGTAAGCGCACTCAATATGTGCTGGATACGCTGGCGCGTGATGTGAAGGATCCTCAAATTGTATCACATTGGAATGCTATGAACAGCCCGACAATGTCCTGTGTTAAGATCAATATTGTGACGCATGGTTATGACGCCATTGGGCGAACTTCGCTGGTTATACATGTAAAAGAGCGCTCGTTGAAGTGCATCTGCCGCGATGGACGAGTCATGAGACTTTCGTATGAACCACAAGAGCTGCGAGATCTCATACTTTGCCAAATTAATTCCCATCAGATCAGCTGCTTAGTGAGTTTGGCTCGCTACATGGCCTGGACAGTGCTTTCGAATAGCAATCATTTAGGTATTGGCAAGGTAGAACCACTTGGCAATGCCAGCTCCTGTTTGCTAGGCTCTCCCAACAGCGATCGCATGATTGCCGTTCAAATACGCTGCGATCCGCAAATTGATGTCAAGGTATATATAGCGCGTAGTCCGCGTCCAGACTTTTTCCCCAGTCCATTGGTGCCAGAGAAGTTCTGGGAGAATCTGGGCGGCAATTTCAAAGAGGTAAATGGAAAACTGTACAAATTATTCATTTTCTAATAACGTCCCAATTACAGGTGCGTTTTGACAAAATCGAAGGAAAGAGTTTTTTGAATAAAATGGAATTTCTGATGGCATCGCTGACCAGCAACACCGCATGAATATGCGCAAATTTTAGTTAACTAACATATTATTTATAATTATTGAAGAAGTTATTTAAGTAAGCATACAGTATGTACAAAAAACCAGGCTCTCGATTAAAGAACGCAGCTTAGCGCTGTATGTTATAAACCGCAAAGCTGTTTAGGTGCTGCCCCTGCTGCTGCGGCTGCAGCATGCTAAACGTATCCTCGAGGCTGATCACATTCGCACGATTTGTGCTCTGTAATGGGAATGTCTCAAATATATGACTTATTTTACCAAAGTTCAACTCACCCAACGCTCTAGATCGCAAAAGTTAATATCGTAATGTTGATTAGTAGCAGTGAAAACTGGTCCCAGCATCGATGCTGGCCTCGCCACGCGCAAATACAAACCACGATTCGTGGAGAAGAGCACTGGGACACGTCTTGCGGGCGCTGAGCCGGCAATGAAGCCGGAGCCTGTTACTTGCCGATAGGTTTGGCAATTAGGTAGCACTGTAGTTGACTCTTCATGTGAATTGACATCTGGAGCAGCAGCGGCAGCCACGTTGCGGGCACATCCCAGGCAACTGTAAAAACAGGACGCCACTTTGCCGCATTGACTTCGTCTCAATGGCTAGCAGACGTTTTGCGTTCAATAATATGCCTATTTGATATAAAAATGCATATTTATTGATTTTAATGACACGCAGGCGACGTTATCAACTCCAAGTCTGCCCGGACAGTGGTAAGCCAACGCAATTAACTCCCTTGCACATTTGTGTGGGCCAACAAGCATACGCTCGGTTGCCTCGGCAATCGACTCTCAATTAAATTGAAATGTGCATATTAGAGTTGTCAGCTCTAGTTCAATTTGATGAACAAGTTCAAGTTTGTATTTCCGAACAGTGGAACATAGCGTTAGTTCATTACTCGACCCTTGAATAATACCTTACAACTGGATAGAGGCTAGAGACTCAAGCCATGATTCCAGCACAGACGCTGACTAAGCACTGGGCTAGATGCCATGATTAGAAGGTCATGGAGTAGACACAAGCTATGGAAGTGTGGCTCGGCTCGTCGTGGCCTAATAAATTCAATTCATATTCAGATTGTGTGCATTTTTTAACAGCATATTACATGAATGATTAAACCTAACGATTTGTTCATAGTTTATCGTTTATAAACTACTATACATATACATAGTTCAGTTTACATGAGTAAATCACTGATTAGTTCAGTATTATTTTTAATGAGCCGTTGAATCGAACTTGGCTTGAACTATCCAACACAGCTCTAGTCCATATACATACATATATGTACTTAGCCGAGTTGTGCGTGTATCACGATAATTTCGTATGTGGTCTGTCTCGGCTGTGGCCCATTTAAATCCACGCATTACGATACAACATTATGAAAGGAAACATCAGCAATAATTAAGAGATCATTACATACTGATGAAGATATTACCCATCTCTACCGCTCCAAATTTATATGTCCTATACTTTCGATTATGTGGCATTTTGTAGGTATATAAAAGCAGTTGAAATTCAGCAAGCTATAAAAAATATCCAATAGTTAGGGAAATTTGGAAAATTTAATTACGATTCTGAATAAACATATTTAAAAATAATTTTCAAATTTAATCAAACTTAATAGTTCGTTATAATAAATTATATAATAATAAAATATAAATTTTGAATGTCAAATAAAAAAACCAAAAAAAATAGAAAAATATTTGATAAAAAGTAAAAGAATTGCTTTTAAACAAACATTCCATTAAAAATAATATTTGTTTTAATTTAATTGAATAAGCATAATGTTGGTATTATTACAATTTTTAATAAACACTTTAAATAATACAAAAATAAAGACAAATTTTTATTTATACAATTCTTTCATAGATGCGATACATAAAATAAAAATAAAATCATTTTTTAGGTATTTACTTTTAATATAATAACAAATCAATAAAACAATTGTAAATATAAACTTGGTATTCCACATCCACAGTGATCCGAGCTCTAAGACTATGAAACATTGTTGTTTCAATTTGAGGGTACAGATAATAAATATTCCAAATATTTCAATATTCAATTGAAGCTTCAATGCAAATGAGCATTGCACATCGTGAACGAGTATAAACAAGTAAAACTATTCTGATCGGCAGTGCCCAACTATGGTATACCTGCACAGAGCCCTAGTTTCATCCATTTTAGCCTTCTTTACACAAATTGACATCCACACTGAAGGCCGTGAACTGAGCAGCTTATACAGCAACTGCACTTGGACTGCAATCTATTACTGCATTAGTTTGGTTCTATATTGCTTCGGTATCAGTGTAACTTAGTGAAATTTTCAAAATTAAATAGGTTTTTGGGGAATGTCACAAACATCTTCATAATAATTTGGTCTTTAATAAGGGAAGACGACTAAATATATTGAATAAATAAAGACGGGCATGGCAAAATGGAATCAATTCGTCGTTATCGGCTCTGCCACGCCTTGTTTTCACGTTCAGGTTATAACAATTTCTTACAATAAGTGGTATACAAAAGTTATACTATAGCCGGTTTTAATTCAAATTACATAAATTAAAAAACACATTTTTTACTTTTTACAAATATTGTTTTAAAACTTTATTTCATTTTATATTATATTGTTGTTTCTTGTTTTTTTTTTGTGTTGTGTACTTGTAAATTGTATAATTAACACTAAAATACTTATTTAAACATTATTTTTCTTTTATATGCAATCGAGCTTTTTTTCTTTTTTTCTGGGCTTTTTGCAACTCTCGCTGGGTTGCTGTTTTTTGTTTGTTATATATATATTTTGTTTGTCGCTGTTTTGTTTACTAAACATATATTCATATAGATCCAGCATATTGAAACGCTTAAAATGAAAGCGTTTGCAGTTAATAAAGTTATCTTAAATACTATTTAAGTGTTGCTGTTCCATCAATTCAATGATAATTCAATATTTATAAATATATTCATATATATGTATATATATATATATATATATATATATATATATATATATATATATATATATATATATTTATTTATTTATTATATATATATATATATATATATATATATATATATATATTTATTTATTTATTATATATATATATATATATATATATATATATATATATATATATATATATATATATATATATATATATATTTTATCTACATATATTTCAAATTCCGACACATTAAACATATACATACAATATTTAAAATAGATTTTGTCGTACTTCTTTTTTAAATATTATTTATGAAATTGATTTTGGGATTTGTGTTTATAATGCATAGAATTTCATTTTGATTTGTTTTTTTTGTTACATTTTTTAGTTAATTTTTTTTTATAATTTTTTACCCTTATAAATTAGTTTTCAAATCTAAATTCTACGCTTTTCTTGGTTTTTCAATATTTTTCTTCTTCTCATTAATGTGAATGACGTATATATTTAATTCATATATATATATGTATATATAAATTTATCTTTATGCAGCCAACATTAACTAACTTTTGTACAGCTTTAATTCTTTTATGTGATATTTGCCAAGTAAACTTTTTATAGGTTAGGTTTGCTATATATATGTTGCCTGCTGCCTTTAAGTAATAGTTAATTAATTATTAATATATATATATATATATATATATATATATATATATATATATATATATATATATATATATATATATATATATATATATATATATATATATATATTGTATTATTATATATGTATATTTATTTAATTCGCTGCCTTAATGCCACAATGTCGACATCGTTGAACTTTCTTTTTTGCTTTTTGTTTAGAAATCGAAACAAGTGCACGCAAATGTAATCCAAAATAATATAAATATTGCTCGATTCGCCAGGATTGGCAGTTAAAGGAACTTAATAATATACAATAAAATGACATAATTTAATTTACAGACTGAAGTTTGGCATGATTAAAGGAGCTTACATGGACACACTTAAAACAAATTAGAAATCAAAAAGAAAATAAAATTGACGACGACGACGACGACAATGTGCGAACTTTACAATTTGTTTTAAAATTCAAAACAAAATACAGAACAAATAAAATCGTGCATTTTGAGAGAATAGCACACAAACATTGACACATATACATACAAACAAACTTGTGTGCATGTGTGCTGAAGGCTCTGCATATACATATTTAATAATGCTAACTATGCTCCTTATCATATTATAAATATTTACTCTTCACTTACTTTTTTGCAACTTCAACTTTGAAGCTTTTTTCTATTTTCTTATGTTGCGCCTTTAAGACTCGTTTAACAAAAAACCTTGTTGCCATCTCAATTTCTACAATACAATATTATTTAATATGCATATACTTAGTGTAAGTATATTAAAAAATCACACAAACAGAAAATGTACATAGATGGTGTAGCTGTTAAAGTTTTCATTGATTTCTTGTTTATTTTTTTGTTTTTGTTTTTTTTTTTTTTTTTGTATTTTTGACTTCTGTTAATATTGCAAAGCGCAAGTAAAATTTTTAAATCGCTAAAATTAGTAGACAGATTTTGTGTGAGAGTGTGATTGTATATGTGGGGGCTACAGTTTTGACTTGTTGCAACTAAACTAATCAGAAGACTTGCTAAACATATTGTAGTTGTTGCATTTAACAGTAAATTTTAAGTATATTTGCGTTTTTACTGCTGTTCTTTTTGTAACTTTTTTCGATCTCTGGCTCTCACCGTGCCTAGCTGTAATCAACTGGCGTTGCCAGCTGGTCGCATTTGTTTACTGATTCGAACCGGTTCAACTAGCATTTGAATTTGAATGTAAGTTGGAATATGGTATTTTGCTGTTGTTTTGTTTTGCTTATTATTAGCTGTTCGGTTTACAATTTTACATATTTTCGTTTTCGTTTTTTTTCTTGTAATTTTTTTCTTTTTTCTAAACTATTACATATAATAATTACTTTAATTTACTTTACTTTATGCTTATGTACCAAGGATTTTCACTACCGTGTGTTTAGAAATTGAGTTCTTTTGCAAAATGCGCGCCACTGGGCACAGTCGGATTGCCAGATTGGTTGCTGTTGTTGTTGTGGTTGTTGCTGCTGGCGCCGCTTAGCAAATTGGAAGCAGCTGCACCAAGCGCCGCTGCCGCTATGGATGCAGCCGTTGAGCTGCTTGTTACTCTTCCTCCAGTTCCTCCATTGCTGTTTGACGCGGCTGCAGCAACGACAGCTGCTACTGCAGCTGCCACATTATTGAGATGTTGCTGATGCTGCTGCTGCTGCTGTTGTTGATGCTGTTGGTGATGATGCTGATGATGATGTTGTTATGGCATGAAGTAGTCCGGATGATCTGTATCTTTCTCAAATCGTTTGGCCTCTTCGTGCATGCTCTCTTTGATCTTGAGTATGGCCGCCGATTCGGTTTGATCATTTTCGCCAGGTCCACCGAAGCCGCCCAAATTATAATCCCCCATGCCGCTTCCGGAGTCTTCGCGCGGCGTGCCTGGACCACCGTTAGCTGGAGAGTTCTTCATGCCGTCCAGGCCAGTTCCGTCTGGTCCGCCGCCGCCGCCATTAAGTACGGGGCCCATCGAGTTGGGACCTCCACCCATAGGGCCCATACCACCAGGTCCGCCGCCGCCACCACCACCATCAGGGCCGCCGCCCATAGGGAATTCTGGTTTCATTAATGAGTACATGCTATCGCCAGGACCGCCGACGGGGCCGCCTTGCGTGTTATCCTGCGGCGAGGGCATGATGGGCGTGCCGGGACCAGGCGGACCATTCGAACCAGGTCCGGGTCCATAATTACCCGGCGACGATGAAGAGTACGCATTCATGGGCGCTGATGCATTTGGCTGCCATTGAGGCGGTCTTCCGCCACCGCCACCCATCCCCATTGGCGGCATGCCGCCGGGTCCGCCTGGCGCCGGGCCACGCATACCGCCCGGTCCACCATATCCCATAGGTCCCATGCCTGGGCCACGTGGCGGATTCATGCGCGGATTCATTGGACCCATGCCGCCTCCCGGTCCAGGCCGCGTTGGATCCATGCTATTAGGCATCATGGGCTGTCCGGGTGGGCCATTGAATTCATTGCCCATGCCCTGCATGCGCACACCAGGTCGTGGTCCGCCCGGATAACGCGGTCCACCCATAAATGGAGGCTGACCCGGCATCATCTGCGAAGGCGGCGGCTGTGGACTCGAGGCGTGCGTTGGCGGCGACGGCCGCATTGTCGTATTTGGGAAAAAGTTGGGACCCATCGGTCCGCCAGGTCCCATTGGGCCACCATCACCGCCCGGCGGCATCTGGCCGAGTGGACTGGGCGCTGGGCCACCAGCATTGTGGGGTCCTCCGGGACCGATTCCATTCACACCATAACCGGAGCTAACAAAGCCATAATCATGGAAAGCTTTCGCCTCCGAGCTATGATCGCATTGATCACGACGCTCCGGTGCCGCACAGTACAGATCCCAGAAAACGCACCACCAGGTGTGCAGAAATCCCGGTGGTTCACCAAGTGTTATGTTCTTCTCCCATCGGATCTCTGAGAGGAATGTCTGTGCCGCCTTTTGGGCGCCCACGTGCAGCAGATATTCGTACACATAGAGCGCCAATTTCTCTCTGGCCTGCGCATCAGACGGCACGGCGGATGTCTTCGATTTACCGTACATTCTGTTATTCTGTTTTGTTGTTGTGATGTTATTTTCTTTTTCTTTCGAGTTTGTTCTGCTTCGATTAATGTTGTTGTTCACTATTGTGCTCTAACTTCCACTTCCACTTCCACTTTATTTAGATTTTGTTTTATTTAATGTTACTTTTTTGTGAGCGGCTCCTCTGCTGCTTCCAACGGCTGTTGCGCGCTCGATTCGGTTGCTTTCGTTGCTATTCTATGCTCTTCTTATTTTGCTTATGCCGTTTTATTGCTGTTGCTATTGTAAGTGTTATTGTTGTTGCTGCTGCTGTTGTTGTTGTTGTTATTTTATAATTGGCGCTCAGATCTCGCGCTGCTCACGCAGCCGTTCTCTGCCGCTCTATTGCTTCCACCATTTTTATATTTTATTGTTTTTATGTTCGTTTTAACGTTTGTTCGAAAGTAGCAGAAATTAAAAAATCACTTTGTGCCTTCTATACTGAGTTTTACAATAAACTTTTAGCGCGCTACCTTGAATTGTTGCCTCTGCTTGCTGTCGCCACTTCTTCGTTTTACCGTTTATTTTTCTTTATTTTTTCAGGTATTTTGCCTGATTGTTGCTGCTTCTTCTTGCACAACCACTGAAAGCAGAAAAAAAAAATATATAAGCAAAGAGAGCAAAATGAGCGAGTGTGCGTTTATATGTGTGTTTGCAAAAACTGTATGTGTGAGTGAGAGTTTGGCTGCGGCTTGAGCGCGCGTGTGTGAGAGAGGGAGCGCGCGCATTGTCGACAAAACGGCACAAGTGCTACAGTGTTACCTAAAAAATATGTTACACGTGCCAACTATTAACAGTGCATTCAATTAAATTTTTCTAGTTCTTTATTTTAATCACTAGCAAATAAAACAACTAAGTCAACTAATTTATATTAGGCATTTTCAACATATTTGGTAATTGCGAAGTATTAAATTGCTAGACTAGGTCTGCACTGACTTATAGCGTAGACTTTCAGTGCGTCGTTCACTCATGTGTGTTCCCCTCTATTTGCTCACCAGGTGAGTGAGTGAGTGAGTGATGCTCAGTTTGTATGTTGAAAAAGGCAAGGAACAGAACAACTAGCTTGGCGGCGTAATCTGCTTCTGTTGCCGCGCGCTGACTGTCAAAAGCTTATATTCAAATCAAATTTCGTGTACAACGTTCTGTACAGTGACAGTGGGAGCACACTGACACAAACAGCGACCGTGTTGATAAGGCCCTCTCAACCGGGGGTATGGGGACAGGTGTATTGCGATTTTACAACTGGGCAGGACAGTCAATATAGATAGAACTTCGTCAAAGCGGCGATCTGATAGGCAAAATCTTTTAGCTTCAATTTTGAAAATTCTGCTCTACTTGTGAATTGATAAATTGACCTTTTTCGAAAGCTTTACTAACAGCAATATGTTTAATAATTATTCATATACTGAATTGGAATACCTTATCTAATCTAATTTATATATGAACATTTTTAAGGAATGCCTTTAGTTGCATTTTAGTAATTTGCATTTTGAAAAAGTAATAAGCTTTTAAATTATTTCAATTGTGAGGTGTACTTCTAAATATTAAATCTATCTAGCTGGATATTATTTTCTAAATATTTTAATAAGTAGAAGTTCCTGCTGTATCTTTTTAAAACAATGACAGCCAATAATATAAAAAATATTCTATTCAAATTAAAAGTATATATAAAAGCTTCTTCATTCAGTAGATTTAGATTTGATTATTTTTTAGCTTTATCCAGTTTTATTGTAATTTACATAATTAAATTTTATGTAAATTATATATAGGTCAGATGCACTGTACTAACAGAACAAATAAAAACATCGTTTTTAGTATCATATTATTTCATATAAAAGTTACGTTTAAATATTGTATATCAAATCGTGGATTTTAGTTTCATAAAATTTTCTAAATTTCTACCGATATTACCAAATTTATATAATTATAACAGAACCCTACGAAAATACTTGGTAAATGTAAATATTTCGTATTATGCATTTGAAAATAAATTGAAAATGAAATATATTGATTAAATTAAAGATAATAAGCAATTTTCTTAAATTTCAACAAAAAAATATTTAATTATTAAGGATCAAATTAACTAGCTAGTAAAAATGGTTTAAAACCAATTATTTGATTAATTTCATTAATTTAAGTGACCGAAATATATTTTTTCCTTTAAAAATGATATCTCACAATGTAGGATATTTCTCTTTCGGGTAGCTTTGCCAATTCACGCACTGTACAGGTAAAAGATAGTTTTTAATTTTTGGGTTTGCTTCAATGTCAACTCATTGGGTGCCTATTCAAATTTGACTACATCATGGTTCGCTTGGCAGCTTCAATTTTTGTTTTGCCTTTGCCACTTTCTAGGTTTCTTCTAGCCCAATCTGGATGTTGTTGTTTTTAATGTTGTTGTTGTTGTTGTTAATCAACATCAGCATCACAGCGTGCTGGGCTTCTTCTACCAGGGAGCTACAAAATACCGGTATATAGTAGTAAAGAATGTATACATGTGTGTGTCTGTGTGCACAACTACACGTTGCGATTTCGATACCATTGTTGCTGCTGCTCACTAGACAAAATCAACAACAACAAGAAAAACAACAATAGCATAGTTTGAAGACGTCATCATATTTTTGTACGCGGGTTTTCTTCTCAATGTTCTACATTGAACTACGCACACATACACAGGCACGCACAATAATATATTTACACTGTACTCAATTATTGTGTTGTTACTGCTGCATACGCACCTTGTAAAATAAAACTATGTATGTATTATATTATATATGAGCTGCTTTTTGGTTGTCAAAATTGTTTTTATTGTTGTGGTCGCTGCTATTCGCAAATTTTATCATAAAATCAACAAGAGAGACACGGCGGGCGCATGGTAGAGACAGAAATGGAGGATGAAGAGAACAAAATACGGAATTTTATTACAATTTCATTGATTTTCCGTATTTTTCGTCCTCTCATATGGATTTGCACAACATACATACATATAACTGTTTATTATTAAACCGCGCGCCTGTCAACGTTTTGCACTAATTCTCAAAATTGCGATTGTACTTGCATTTACATTAGTATGTTATTAGGGTTTGTGTGTATTTGTGTGTGTGTGTTTTTAATTTCTTTTCTAAACACACTTTTCGCCTTTCTTGTTGTTGTTGCTGTAATTTTTGCAAGTTTCTCTTTACACTATTTTCATTCGCACTGCGCTTTGTCAATGTATTCGTCGTCGTTGTCGACGATTGCTTTTACTGCCTTCACTGCTGCTGCTACTGCTTCTTCTTCTTTCACTAAAAATCGGCTCTTTTTTGCCTGTACGACGAAATTTTCACGGCGAGTTATTGCGTTGAAATACATTTTTAATGAATTTCATTTCATTAGCAAACGCTGCATTTACATTTTCACTTTGATTAATTAATAAGTATTTCGATTTTTACACAGTAAATTATTTGTATAAATATTTTCACTGCTACAAGTTGCGCTGTCGTCGCCGTCGTCGTCTTCTCGTCGTCGCGTTTCAAATAGCGAATTTGGTGGGAAGGAACGAACAAACCAACACTTTTTTCTGCTCATTATTTTGATAAGTGCTTTGCGCGTAGATACGCTGGTCGTCTCGCTCGCACACACATTGTTCACAAAGTGCTGCCAGATAGGCGAATAAAGCAGTTAAGATAGCTTAAGTCTTTTAAAACTGATGGTCAATTATAGAGGAGCCATTATTATAACTTAATAAAATAAGTTTAAGTTCATAGTCAGATGTATTTTGAATATATACACTGCAAATTTGAACTATTAAGAGCTTTTAACCGGCACTGTTTAATCTGGCAACGCTGTACCTCCGGCATTTTACTCATTTTGTTTTTCCCCCATTCTTTACTCGCTCTTTCTCTGTCTTTCATTTTATGTGTACATACGTTTGTGTGTATGGGTCAGTCAATTGTATTAGACTACGAGTGCGTCGATATTGCATTCGGTATGTTGTGTTTAATGCATAAAAGTGCAAACGGGTGAGTCAAAATTATGTAATAAATTAAACTTGTATGTATATACTTAGCATAATAGGTTTAATTATTACCAATAATATTTTTAAAAATGGACTTGTCGAATATCGCTGCCAGTGATGTAAATCTTAATCGATATATGGAAATATCGTCTGATATCGATTTTTTGATAAGGATTAACGTAATTTTCGGTTAAGTAAAATACAAAGAAACAGATTTTAAGTATGCATTTTTCAAGTCGTGCATTCTTCTGTAGACAAATAAACGGAAAAACTTAAATGAGTGGTAAATAAATGATACTCATTTTTTTAAAGATAAGCGATAAAATCAATTTTTTAAGCTTTGTGTATTTCAGCTTCCAGAAGTGAGTAAATTGTCCGTTGAAAATTTAAAATAGAACTTTCGGCAATGGCAGTTAGTGCGCAAGAACAATTTGTCTTGCCGCCAAAAAGCTACTGCCGCTGCCGCCGCGTGGCGTAAACAGAAAACAGTGCAACTGCAACTGTGCGCGACTACAGTTTAAGCTTCTGATTTTCGTATTACAATAGTTATATTTGTAGCTAAATATTTCGTGAAGTTCCAGTGCGTTGTCAATGCAGCTAATTAATGTTGGATAAATAAAGTAAAAATTAATTAAGGCAGCATCAAGTGTGCAAGGACATACTCTGCAATAAAAAATACAGTTAAGTTTCTAATCTAAAATGATAAACTTAGTTTTGAGTTAGCTTTGCAGGGATATATCTTGAAAACCATTTGAAACTTACCTTAGCCAATTGTGGGCATTTGCGTAAAGACAATTCTGTAACACCTTCACTATATTCCCTAAGCGTCATTATTTATATATTATATATATATATATATATATATATATATATTATATATATATATTATATATATATATATATATATATATATATATATATATATATATATATATATATATATATATATATATATATATAAATAATATATAAATAATGACGCTTAGGGAATATAGTGAAGGTGTTATATATATATATATATATATATATATATATATATATATATATATGGATTCCCCATTTGTCAATTATCTGTAACCCTTTTTATATCGACTGAGCCTGCTAGAGCAACAACATATATATAAATATATATATTATATGTGTATATATAATTTATCCATAATATCTATGTATGTCTGTGTATGTATGTATGCTGTTGCCCTTGGGCGCTGAGAGTTGGATGCATTAAAAAATTTAGCATATATGTATATATACAATTTAAAAATATAGCTGAAGTGCGTATATATATCAATGTATATATGTATGTACGCATCCTTTTGTTTTCACATAAAAACAACATTTAAATGCAAATCTGAATTACATTCGGCTTAAATTATCGTTGTATAGCTTTGATTCTATTGTGAGCGTCTTACATATTATTTTCATTACTAAGCTGAGTATTGCTTTACTATAAATTATAAATTCTAGTGAATTGAAGTGTTTTCGGCTATAAACAATTTTAAATCCCTCTTCAATCAACATTTAATTGTCAAACTACAGTTTTATACAATCAAAGAACAAAATTGTTTTTAGAAGAGATAAATAAAGAAATATTTGAATATCTTCTATCCCACATATTGGACAGTCGATGATTTCACGGCCCTCTTACAACGCTCAACGAATTCAATTGTAAAATAATGTCCTTATATCCTGCAGCTAAGCAGCACCAGAGCATTTATTGCCACAATTTGCACTCCTCAAATAGAATTTCTAATTAGGTTCCTGTTTATGGGTTAATCGACAGCTAGGTTTGCTATGTAGCACATAAACTCTGCAAATTGATTAGCCAGGAGCTTGGAAATGTAGTTGTAAATTGCATTTATGTGGTGTTTCAGCAGCTTAATAGCTATGTGGCAAATGCGCGGGATTTAGGTGGCTGCAACCACACACACGTGTCACTTGATATGACGACTTAAATACATTCATATTTACGTATTTATTACATACAACAGTGGCAATAGTTGCGTCTGGGCCTTTGGGTATTGTCTGATTTGTGAGGAGCATATTTTACGAATAAGTGCGTCATCATGGAGCTCGGGTTGCAGTTGCAGTTGGCAGACATCGTCGCCTCTTTGTTGGTTAGTTGCCAGCATTTATGAAGACTTCGCCCCGAAAGGCAGCCGTTTCCGTTTCCGTGTCTGTGCCTGTGTCCGTGTTCGTGTCCGTTTCCGCCGCACTTTCAGGTTTGCAGCTCGTAATTCAATTGCCCGCCCGTCCAACAACGAAAATATGGCAGCTGATTTATGCGCTCTGCCTTGGTCCTCTGACCCACAAAGCTAGTGAACGTTGCCAACAGCTTCAACTCGATTCATTTTCTTCTAAAACACATGCTCATATGTGTGTGCCTGTGTGTGTCAGTGTGTGAGGCATTCCAACAAACTTTTCTTAATGCGGAAATTGAGAAAGTTATTTGTTATAGAATATGTCGCTGCGCAAGATTGTGTCCAGATTGATTTTATATAACTATATAATATGTACAGAAAAATAATACAATTCCGCCACATATGTATGCCAATATATGTCTATATATTCGAACAGGATATATATGTATATATAGAAGTTATATTAAATATATATCTGAAGAAAGTGTTATCAGCAAATTCTGTTTTCAATGAGTGAGTAGAAGAATAAATATATTTAGATGGTATACAAATTTATGCCCTTTTAAGCATTTCAAAAAAACGGATTTTGATTGAGTTTGGCAAAATAGGAAAAATATAAAATTTACAACTTAATATTTCATATAAAAATGGACAATTTTTTGTTAAAAATAGGTTTTTAATGTTTTTTACTTAAGCAACAACTGCTTGATAAATATTTGCAGACATTTTTAATAAATGTTGATATTATGCATTCGATAAATAAAATTCAAATTACTTTTACTCTGAATGCTCAATTATCGTAAAATTTAAATTTTCATTGGGGCAATGTGACCCAGTCCCAACTCCCGTGTGTGGCGCTCTTCCCTTATTGCCTGCGTATATTACGTGGTTTATGGGCTTTGGTATCGCTTAATTAAAACGCCTGACAGAGTTAATTTACTTTAATTTTGACGGCGGCAAAAATGAAGTTAAATATTTCATTAGCAGTGCAATTCGGGGAATACGAACAAACACACACGCACGCACACTAAAGATGAGAAATTCAGTTCAATTTGATTTTTGATGAGTTAGTTCATTTGTTCATGCGGAGTTAGAAACGATGAAACGATTTATTTGAACTTCATTTATTAATGTATTTACTGGTTGTGTTACATGAACGATACATCGATAGATTAATGATTATGTATCGAATAGTCATGAAGTGCGGTTTGTCAGAGTTAAGCTTAACGAACCGAGCATATTTGATTGGGTAACTAAGCTATTGCCTATATAGACTGATCTATGGATAAATTCTGTAGTCTATTTTAACGAACCGTTCAAAGGAATCGATATTAAATAATGGAATTGTGCAGCGCCAAAAAAACGGAAGCATTTTTTGCCGACCAAATTTAATACACGCACAGGAAAAAACTGGAAAACTAAGTATGCTTCATGAGTGTGCATATGTATTGTACATATTTATATGTAAATATGGCAATATATGTATATAAATATATATATATATACACATATGTAAGTACAGAGAAGTAAAAAAATTGCAAAGTAAAGCTTAAAACAATGGCACGTAGTGTCTGTGGTCGCCAGCTGTCTCAAGGGGCAGAAGTTAGGCGAATTGGTTTGTGGCAGACAGACAGGTAGCAACGTGGAGGCGGGGCAGGTCCTTGGAAAAAGCCAAAATGTAAACACAGGCGCCAGCGGCTGACAGAAATTGGAAGCCAATGCCTGGGAGAAAAGTCCTTGTTGCAACGTTGGCCACCATACGCAGCACGTGGCACGGAAATTGTGGACTGCATGCTGCATGCTGCATGCTGCGTGTTGCCATTGCTTTGCTTTCGCCGTGTCAGCTCACATGGGATTTGCCCAACGGGATGATCAAATTTAAGTTTAAATAATTGCACTCGAGCTAATCATTAAGTCTGATTGTATTCGATAATAAGTTATCTAAAGCGACGCGAGATCGAGAGATTTAACTAAATGCGGTTTGCTGGAGATAGCGAAAGATATGCAAAGCAATATGAAAGAATGTTGGTTAACTAGTAGGTGAGTGAATTAATTGAAAAAGGTAATAAAAAATTAAAAATAAAATTGATTTAGTTATTAAATAATAATAAAAAATACTTATATATACAAAATGGTTCTCTCATATTAATATATAATCGTTATTCGAAAGCTTTGATTGGAAACAAAAGCTGAACGGATGAGTGGAACATGCAATTACAATAAATCGATAAATGTCGATTTGCAGTTAAGCCTAGATATGACATTACATTCAATATATAAAGTAAAGTATTTAAGCGTAATCTGCAATTGTTTCCCATTTTTAATGGGCATAGATTTCATAGGGAAATATTGTCAATTCCAATTCAAGGTCCCCTACATTCATGAGCATGGTGGGACGCTTGATACGTAAAACCAATATACTCTTTTAGATTCGTGAATGGGTATAAAACAGTGGAATTAACATCGATCGGGAGTAAATTAAATGTTTATTTAACTGTGTTTGCCATTGTTGGTCCAACTCATTAATGCGTTAAGTTGCGGTGGTAGGATCACGCGTGTCCTTTTCATACCCCTTTGCTGTAGCTTTGTTGCTGTATTTGGTGCGGCGCGTTTCTGTACCGGATGTGGCAGGGATGTGAGGGATTCGTGCTATATTTGCATGGCTGCGTTTGACTGCGCTTGAAGTCAGGACGGAAGCTCAGTGATGCGGGCAGGAGGAAAGGTGGCGAAGGGACGCTTGGTATTTTGTGGGCGATGACACGACTGTGCGGCGACAGAGTCTGCCGGCAACGAAAACATTCCAAAGCAAACAAGCACATGCAGCAGTAGCAGAACTGGCAGCAGCAGACCACGTACCACATGCAACAATAACGTTCGAGGCAGTGCAATCTTCTCATTTGGAAGCGTTGCAGCATGCGCCACATTTTCGCTTTCCCGCATGTCGAACAAGCTGCACCAGTTGGTACTTATGCAGCACATCCTTGTTCAGTTCGTGCCCTCTAACCGACCATCAAAACATTATGGGAATAATAATAATTATACAACAATAATAATAATTATATTTCTAATAATAATATTAGTAACTAAGAACTGTGCATAACCGGATGGACAGCATTCCTCTCGAGTAATTTACCGCTTTTCATTCGTGAAACGAGTGATTATAATTATTTAATGGAAATCCCTCTTTGCTAGTAGAAACCTTGAGCTTATGTTACTAAATTACTTTGAAGGAGTATTAAATAAGCATTACGTAAGAAGTAAGAAATAAGTAGAAATCATTTTAGACATTATTTCAGTCGCTTGGATGGTTGGCTTAGCAAGAGAAAGTGCAGAAAATTCGCAAGCGTCGAGGCTTGCTTGTTTGAGTTGCTTCTAGCTGGTTTTGTTGCGCTTAATTCGTTTGGGAATTGATATAATTTGCATGGTAATTTTGCAGCGAGCCGACAGAAATTAGTGAAGATATTTTAATTGCATTCTCAATGGTGGAGTTGCCCAACAGCCAAAAGAAGCGGCCGAAAGATGAATAATTAAGTGGGCCG